CTATTTTTTCTGGAAGTGATTTTCAAAGAGCTAAAGGGAGCACACACTCAAAAGCAAAAACAGAAAAGCACCACAGCAAAGACACCTAAAATAAACCAGCGCTGCTATTTAAGCAGTCTGAGAGAATCCGTATCAGGTGGGATTACAGAAATAGGCAAAAACTACAAAACTGATGAGGATTTTGTTTCTTTAAAGAGCTCCCCATTCTTCATTTGTGTCCCTTTTCTGCACAGAACACCCCTCTGTCCCTCTTCTCAGAGCTTGCACCATCATTCATGCCTCCTCTTCTGCACACAGCCCACATCCTTTCTTCCCCTGAGAAGAGTTAAGCACTCTTGTTCCTCCAAAGAACAATTTATTTTTCCTGACAAGGCCTTTTATGCAATTAGCTGGAGAAGCCATAGCCAAAAAGAAAGAATAACACATGTAAAGCCACGCCAGAGAACAGAGTAGGTAGGAACTTGTTGAGTCTATTACCAGACAAAATGTTTAAATCAATGGTGTGTTCTCATAAATCAAAAGCCGTATTTAGCATTTAGCTCTAACTGTAACCATGCCTGAGCAATGTGGAATAGAGAGAAAACACTTTTAAAAATTTGAAGCTCCTGAAACGAGGAAGGGAGGAAGCAGCAGATGAGACAAGCACAATGCAGGGTCATCTCCAGATAAAGAATTTATTCTACAGGTGAGAATGGAGGTGCCACAGCATTCAGGGCTGAGCAGAGCCTGCCAGTCACACCGACTTGTGTCTGGTGGTGATTTGGAAACATTACAGAACCATTTGAACCTAGTTAAAACTTGGACATTTATGTGGGGTTTGTGCTGTACAAATATTGAGCCCAGAAGAGCCAGAACTCTTTGCTACAGATCTGAGACAAAAGGATTTGCACTGCAGACCATAAAAGATCGTTCTTTTTCAATTACACTTGACAGGTCTGAGTTACTGTAAGAGGAATAGGTTTGGAGCAGTAACAGTGAACCAGAGAACATAATGTAATTTGAGAAACAGCACAAAAACCTCATCACATCCTTTTATTTTTCAGCTGGGAGTGCAAGATTGTATCTTTTCACCCCTCCATCCTTGTTCATCCCTTTACTCTTCCACTTGAGCTGCTTTGATTTAGATTTAGGACTCCCATTCATCCCAATTAGATGGCTTTTCTGTAAAGCTGCTTTCCAAACCCATGCTTTGCTTCCGTTGACAGGATTTCACTGCTTTCCAGAAAAATAATAGATTTCTCACATACCACAGTTTCTAAAGGTCCCTTCTTCAACAGCATCCTCCTCAGCACAGAAACCTTGAGCAGTTGTATTAAAGCAGTGGCTCTGATCCAAAGAAGGATCTTTTTGCCTGCTGTGACTCCAGCACTCCTCATTTTATTTGCAGCAGTGCAATCACAGCTCCTAAGCAGAGGCTGCTGTTCAGTGCCAGGGAAAGGGAGCAAGTCACTCACAGGACCGATGCTCGGCTCCCTGCCTGCAGGCTTTGGGCTCCTGAGGCTCTGAGGGCCTCCCCAGGCTGCTGCTGAGGTTTGTGTCACAAGGAGGAGGTTTCTTCCCAGGCCTGTCCTTCCTTCTCACCTTGTTTACTTCAGTTCAGCCACTGAGTCCAGTCCCACCATGTGATTTTTAAACTTCATTTGTTCCTTTAGGCAATTGCTTTTACTAGAACTGCATCCTCCCTAAGAAATCCAGGACAATTTGCTTCTGCTTTTGCTTGCAGTGCTTAACACATTGTCAGAGCTTCCACTGAAGCAATCACACTGAAAATAAGACTTGCTTCTTCCACTTCTTGCATTTACACATTTTTATGAGACACTGGAAAAGTACAATTGGATTTTTTTTCCCCTTGCAAATGCTGAGACAGTAATAAGTAACAGATTCACAGAGTTCTGACTCAGATCTAGGTGTCTCTGACATGTACCATGTCTTTCAAATATATTACACACTCTAATGCTTCTGTTATCAAGAGCTTAAGCCTTTTTACGTTCTCCTCTCCCCATCAACAGTGGAACCAGGGAGGATTCCCACCACAAAGCTCCCATTCACACTTCCCACAAAACAAAGCAGCCTGCTGGGGCTCCAGTTGGGATCAACTTCTTGCATCATCTGGGTTCATTTTCTTACCCTATTATTACCTCTAATCATGAATACTTCAGTGTTTCTAGGAAGTTTCAAAAGGGGAAGGCGGTTAAAAATTATTTGAATAAATATTATTGTGACACAAGCTCAAAATCACAATGTTTGGGACCTCTTCCTAATTCAGGAGCTATTCATGGGACACAACTGGTGGGACGTTCTTCAGCCCTAGATGATGTGCAGCTTATCTGATGGCACAAAGATATAAGAATTTTAAATTCTAGAGTGGTTTCGGTAAGAAGGGACTTTGAAGATCGTTTAGTTCCACCCCACATCTTCCACTATACCAGGTCACTCCAAGCCCCATCCAAGCTGGCCTGGGGCACTTGCAGGGATGGGGGCCAGCCACAGCTTCTCTGGCTGCTCATTTTATCCTGGTGTTTCCAACTGCAAACTAAAGAATTTAGGTCCAGTTGAATCCAAATTAACTTCCTAAGGCAAATGCATGAGACAACCCATTGCGATGGCTCAGAGTAGAACGCTGCCAGAAAGTGAAGGGGGAATGAAAATTGAGATTCATGATGTTTAAAGTGGACTTTTGACCAGGAAGATGAATGGCTGCATTTTTCTGGGCAGATTTACAGGCCAAATGAATCCCTGGTTTAACCTCTGAACTCGGAGGGTTTCATAAAGGGAGGAATTTGCCTATTGGGCTCACGCGTGCGAATTCCCAGGCATTACAAGATTGAAGCTGTGGTCATTTCAACCCAGAAGAGAAAGAGGAAAACCCACAAGAGGGTGGGTAGGGAAATAAGATTTAAAAGTGCTGCTTCCAGACCATCAGACAGCAACAGATACACTGAAGACAAAACCAGATGCCCTGGAAGAATTAGAACATCAAAATGTTTGATACACTGTGCTCTCAGGTCACTGGTGACCATGGAAAATCACATCCTGCACTGCCCTCAACCAGAAAATCCCAGTTAGCCCTGACTGCTTAGTAACTGCCTGACTCTCCTTCCATGGAAAGATGGGCATTGTCTTCTCCTCACCTCATTTTTTGACACAAGCACCTGCTGAAGTTGCTACCAAAAGAGATGAGAGGAGCCACATCACCCCAAACAACTGCACCAGCTCCGAGGAGAATCACATAAAAAACACAGATTATAAACCAGAAAAACCTTCCCAATTTCAGAATATTGTAGAATTTCTACAGCACTCGGATATTCTCATCATACATAGCCAAAAGTAAATATACAGAATGGTTTGGTTCGGAGGGAACCTTAAAAATATTTTCATTCCAACCCCCTGCCATCTCCAAGAGCTGTAAATGGTTTAAAACTGGAAAAGGGAGCAAAAATACCAAATGCAACATTACTAAGTATTGGAAGCTAGCCCTGGTGTCATGTTCAGTGGGCTCCCAGCTGATTCTTCACCCACAGTGCATTTGCCTTTCCTTCCTCCCAGCTGGCACTGAAGTAGCAACAGCCTCAATAACAGATTTTGGTAAGTTTTTTACTGTAACCAGACTTGTAGCAGCATTTAAGGTTATGTTTAACATAAAACTAAGCTATTTTCTGGCTGCCTCTAAAAAATAGAACACGAGCTAGCATTGAATAATAGATCATGCAGGGTTTTGAGGCCAAAATCCCATTCTTAATGGATTTTTGAAAACACACTAACACTGTTGATGCAGGCTGTTTTCTGGGAATGCAGTGACCAGCGATCTGTTTGCATACAGAACTTGTAACTGTTGAACAAGTCATAGCTCCCAAGCACAGATGAATGTTTGTTGATTCTGTCTAAATGGTGGTGCATTAATACCAGCAAGAGATCCCAACCCTACACGTGGTGCTACAGAAACAGGACAGATGCTCTGTTCCAAGAATCTCAGCTTAAAACTGAGCCTGCAGCTTAACAGCAGCTTAAGAAGGTCCCTGAAGGTACCACTTGTTTTTAAAAATGTGAAAACATTTTTAGGAATAGTGTTGACCTTTATTTTCTTCTCTAGGGAAATTTAATTTCATTTAGAGGAAACATAACTGTGCTGTTTGAAAGTAGCACAAGGGTTTTTTCTGCACTGTCAGAATTTTCTTTGGAACAGAAAAATCTTCCTGATGTTACCAAACAAACAAAATCTTATAGATATATTCCACCAAGCAACAAAAGGAAAAGAAGTTAAAGGGTGTTATCAGTATAAATGGCCTTTGGGATAAAGTTATTATTTAATAACATTTTTTATAGTATCTTTTAATCCCTTTCTGAAAGCTCCCTGTGTTATCCATGAAACCTTTCCACAAAGTCACTCATCACCCCTTCCCAACTTCCATCACCATCAAAATCTATTGGAAATTTAGGAGTGGTAATCCTGACATGGAAATGCAGTCTGGAACTTAGAGATTAAATCCTGATCTAAGCAAAATAACTTTTCTCAAAAAAAAAAAAAAAAAAAAAAAAAAAAAAAAAAAAAAAAAAGAAAAATAGAAGCTGGATGTTGAAAGTAGAGAGTAGGACTATGAACATAAAATAAAGTAAAATAACATAATAACCATGCCCAGAATGGTTTGGGTTGAAAGGGACCTAAAAGCTCATCCCATTCCACCCCCTGCCAAGAGCAGGGACACCTTCCACTATCCCAGATTGCTCCTAGCCCTGTTCAACCTGGCCTTGGGCACTTCCAGGTATAAACAATTTAATCTACATCTCTCAGCTAGGAAGGAATCTGCAGTCCTAGGAATTTCCTTAAGTATTTGCAGTTTTTGTTGGGCTATAGGATAAGAGACACAGGTTGGTAACTGTCTCAGTTAATTTACAGGACAAAAAACACTGCCATAAGAAGCTTCCCCACTATCTAACATCTTTATCAGCCAGGTGAAACATGATGAATTTTAATTCCTCTTCCACTTTTGTTTCTCCCACAGACATATCACGGGCAGGTTTCCTGACTATCCCCCTGAGAAGACAGGCGGTTCCAAAGCTATATTTATTGAAAAACATCCAGAGCAGGTACTGTCCCTCTTCTAATGAAAAAAATGTCATGATGCTGGAGAAGGATTTGCCACAAAACATGTCTGCTTATTTAAGTAGCAATTTTCCCTAACAGTGGCTGTAGTTCTCCAAGAACCTTATGGTTAAAATCTTTTTGTTGCAAGTGAATGTGTTCGGTTTTTTCCCAGGGTGTTTCCAATCAGGTACCGAAATCTGTTCCCTTTCAGGCTGTGCAGCCACTTAATCACGACTGAAGGTGCTCAGGTGATGGAAAAGAAGTAGAGAACAGCAGCAGTGAGGAGTTTCTTATGCAGGCAGGGCTAAACCTTGATTTATTGCCAAGGCTCATTAAGCAAATTTAACATCCCAGCAAAGGAAGTATCTCAGTTTATCTTGTGTGTGGTAGTGAACTCGGTTGTTTTTCCCCCTCTTGATTTCTCTGGCTAATGGAAGTGGCTGATAATCTCGTCCTCTGATCGTCTGAGTATCATGCAGGGAAAGTGATTAAGCCCAGCTGAAGGCAGTGGTTGGCACTTGGAGCCTTTTCCACCCATCCCGATCAGCCAAGTGGGATAATGAGTCTGTTGGGGGAAAACAGGAAGCAGGATTTGGCCCCTGAGTGAGCCAGTGTGCTGGGCTAGGAAAACTAAGAGATCAAAACCTGAATTCTGTGATCCTGAAAGCTCCACCCCTAAGATTGTTGCATGGTTTAGAGGATTTTTTATAGAATTACAGAAAGGTTTGTATTGGAAACGAGGTAAAAATCATCTCATTGCAGCCAGCCTGGCACCTTCCACTAGCCCAGGTTGCCCAGAGCCCCATCCAGGCTGGCCTTGAATGCTTCCAGGGATGGGGAGTTTTGGATCCAGTCCTCCCTGGGATCACAGGGAGGAGCCTGGGGTACACAGCAGTCTATGTGTGGTTTGGGGGGATGTAAGGGCAGGCTAAGCCCAGCATTAACCATGAGCTAACTTTGCTAAAAATACAGCAAAACTGCTGCAAACAGCTGCCTGTGCCCCACTAAAACTTTGGGTTTGGGGCTGCTCCTGGTTTTAGCCAAGTCCAGGGGCTAAACCCTGCTGGGCTCTGCTGTTCAGGCAGACAGAGGGAGGGAAACCCCTGGTAAAGATTTCAGCCCCTAAAGCAGAAACACGTGCCAGAGTCCAGAAGTCTTTGTTGGCTGCTGGGAGCAGCCAGGAGCCAGGCAGCCAGTGGGGCTTATTGCTACCATCAAGGATTAACACAGCTCAGGATGAAAACACCAGAAGGAATTATTCTGGATATGGAGGTAGATTCTGGAGAAATGGATTTAACCTTCCTGTCATGCTCCCAGCTTTCAATTCCCACCTTCAGCTTTTTTTCAGTTTTGTTGCCTTTCCTGAGCGTCTGTTCTTTCTTTGCATGAAAAAATGGAAGCCAAAAGTCTGGAGAGGTTGTTTTACTGCTAGTTTCCCCTGCACCCTGGGAAAAAACCTTCCTCTATTTTCCTAACAAATTTTCACTAGCAATTATCTGATTTTCACCAGTTTAGAAGCCTGGTTTTTTTTCTCCCTTTTTAGCCAGCAGAATGTGTGTCACAGCTTTAAAAGATCTCCACAATGCAGTTGGCCAGAGAAAGTTCAGTGCAATCATGATTTTACCTGAATGTCAGACAAGTAAAACATTTTTTGTTCCACTGAGTCAGCTGCCTATTAAAAAATCCCTGAGGCCACTGGGTTTATTCCACACACTGGTCTACTGGGCAACATAGGAAAGGAAATCCTGGCCCCATGGAAGCTGATGGGAGTTTTGTCCTTGATTCCAGGGGGGACAGGAGTTCACCTCTTGTCTATATGAGCTCCTGTGCAGGGGTTGGTTACTCCCAAGTCAAACTCCATGAAAAATCAAAACCGAACTCTATTTAAAAAGTGAGCATTTTATAAGGCTTCAGTAAAGACACTTTGGGGAAAATAAAATACAAATTAATCACTTCACGAACCATTGCTGCATTATTATACATTCTATATTTCTTGATCCTTTGACAACCCTGACCTTACTTGACTTTCTAATGTAGCTGGCCTTCTGCACAAACTGCTTCCATGACATTTTACAAATACCTTCCCAAAAGATGTGCCAAAGACATCCCAATGCAGAGTACTTGGTGCTTCGGTCAGAAAAATAGGTGCTGTCCTTTGAAAAGAAGCTTTTCTCTACTTTACTTACTCTTCAAGACAAATTTAACTTTCCAGGACATCGGTGTAATCTCTCTGCATCTGTTCCAGATTTCGATCCCTAATGGTTTTTTAAGTTTTGCTCCACAGATAATCATCAGATGTGACAATTTTTAGCTTTGTTCTTATCCTGCTGCCAACAAAATTACGATCTTTTCCTGTAGTTCATTAAGTCTCATCACCATGAAAATAAGCCAAGAGAGTTGCCATTTCACAGGCATTTCCTCCTCTCCCAGCTCCCCCTCATTTCCAATATTAAATAACATTCAAAAACAAGAAGAAAGGTGTCAGAGAAGAAATAAAAGCCTTAAAATATCCTGAATATTTAAAGTTAACCATGCAGGAGGAGGGAAACTGTACTTGACCTCTGTTAAAATTACATAATTAAAACATTCACCTACAGACAGCAATCCACCTTCCCCAGAAAAACCACACCAAAAATCCTCCATAAAAAAGAAACATTTCCTAGGTTCCAACAAAACTTCTTTCTATAGAGTTAATATTCCAAGAGAGAAACTTTTCCCTCCAGGAACACCAGGCTGTGTCCCTGTAAAGTGTTTGTGTTCAGCCAGGCTCTGAGGCTGCTCTCACCTGCCACAGCTGGAGATCCAGCATTCCCAAACTCTATCCCTGCTTTGCTTTTATGCCCACAACTCTAGAAGGCAAAAAGTTCAAGTAAGGTTTTCTTTCAAGCAATAAGGGAAGGGTCTATTCCTGAAGAACATTTACCTTCTTTGAGTATCATTTTACCTGAGCCAACACCAAATTTCTTGTGTCTGAGGACAACAGAACAAGTGAGTCCTGCTGGCAGCTGGAAGTTTTCTTATGCTTAGCTCATGTAAACCAGCATCAGACATTTTCATTCATAGGCTACACTCTGGCTTAGTGCCCAGTTCTTTCTTCTCCCCCCAAAAAAGGAGACTTGCACTGAAAGATTTTAGAAACATGTTTGAACTTATATAGGAATACAAAAGTCCATTTAACTTTTATGGAGCATCAGTTTTAAAGGAAAATGTCTTTTCAGTCACTGAAGAAAATGTTACTGGAGAAGAATCATTACTGGTACAATAGAAGTCCTAGGAAAGACCAGGAAAAAATACAAAGAGGCTAAAATTCGTGTGCTCCTACTGAAACACAGTCTCTTCCTCAGTATTAAGACTTTGCTAACTTTCTGCATCATTTCAACAATGGACAACCTAGCAAAGAAAAGGGGAGTCCAAAACAACTTAGGAAGACATCTACTTCTCTCTCCACTGTGAAGTTTTCTCCAGGAGAAAAAAAAAAAACAACAAAACAAACAAACAAACAAACTACACTAAAATGTGGGTGAATCGCCTACTAATCTCAAACTAACCTTTGCTTGCCATTCCCTTTCTTTCCTCCTCTTCTGTCAGATTGTTCAGGCATCTCCTTGCAGCTGGAGGGGAAGTGGTTCTGTATGGAAGAGCAGAAGCCACTCAAGGTTAGATCCAGGGGCAGCTTCCCCCAGCTGCCAGCCCTCTGCACTCATGGAGCTGCTTGGAGCAGAGCTGAGAGCAGAGCTGGGAGCAGAGCTGGAGGAGCTGCAGCAAGGCCAGGCACAGGGACAAGGGCACTTGAGCTGCTCAGTGCCATCACAGCATGTTCATGAGAACAGAAACTCTGTCTCACCCCTCCCAGTATCATTCATCTGGGCAAAAACACCAAAGCAAATCACTCAGAGTCTGGATGCACTTAACATACTGCCTGCAGAATGCAGAGGCACTGCTGCAAATGGAAACCTTTTGTCAATCACGTGTGTGCTCACAGGTATCCTGCTGGATAAAGCCACCCCTGAGGTGCTGGGAATGGTTCTGGTTACCCTTTGCAGGCAGAGCAGAGCAGAGATGGAGGTGACAAGGTTGGGTTTCTGGCTGAGTAGGAGCACTGCAGTAAAGGATACACTCGGAGTAGCTCTGTTGGTTTTGGATACAACAGGCCTGCTGGGACACTAAAAACCTATTTTGAACTCCAGTCAATCTGTTAATCTATCCCAGGGAATGAAATGCTTCGCTGCTTATCACTGCAAGATGTGACTGAGCGGTGCACGGGGCTTGGATTACCATATTTAATTAAATGTAAGATACTGAAATGCTTGGGGAGAGACACTTATGAAACTGCCCTGGCTGCAAAGCACAGCCCTTGTCATTGTCCCCTTCCAGCATCCAGTACATTCAAAGGTGTACTTGAGAAAACAAACATTTTCACTGTTACAGGAAACACATCTTACAGTTTGAAATGTTTTCTTTTCTACTCTTTCACAGTACTTCCCGTATTAGTGGTCCATTAATAAACTCCAGTGGATTTTCTGATTTACACTCATTAGTAAGTGATCTTAGAATTCCTCTCAGGGACAAGAAAGCTGCCTAGAAACAAGAAAAGCAGAAGATTTTCACCCTCTGCCTTTTTCAGATAATAAAGTATAAATCGCCAGGAACTAAAGATATGGGAATTGATGGAGCTGTCTGTACCCAGTTATCAGTTGCTACTTGCTTGCAGGGATAAAGATGCTGAGCTCTCCCTGTGCATCTGTCAGGGTTTGTCACAATATCTCCATCCAATCTCCCTCACCCACTAGAACAATTTCAGTCTTCAGCCATATATTGAAATTAGACACACCTAGGGGCAGCCTTTTAAAATCCATCCCTATAAAATATCAATCAGCATTACAAACACCAGGACAAATTCATAATCTGGGTCTGAGTCCAGAGGGAACTTTGAGTTGTGTGTCATTAGAATATTCTGCTTCTGGGTGGCTTCAGGAACTGGTCTCACTCCATAAAAGCCCTCATGATTTGGGACAGAGAAATCAGCCTTTTCCTAATGGTAAATTGGGATAGTCAGCACCTGTGCTGGAGTTTGCAGGGGGGGAGTGCCCTGGGCACAAAAAGGCTTCTCTGGGATGGTCTGGAATTCTGAGAGTGCAGCCTGCTGGACTGTAACAGGGTGGTATCTGCACCACCTAATTAGTGGCTTGTCTGAGGTTTCTTCTGTCTTCACTCAGAGCCAGGATTAAAAACACAAAGGAGATGAATTTTCTCGTGTTTGGGCTTGGGTGTTTATTAAATCTTATCTAAAGTACAGAGAGTTCTGCAACACTTCCAGCCACCAGCTAAAAGTGAGCAAAATGGAGGAGAATCCAGCTGGCTACAAGGAGCTTAAAGCTAACCAGTCCAATAGAGAATTAACACCTATATTATTTATACTTCTGACCCAATAACCAAACTCTTGCACCCCAGAGTGCAGCACTGTCCAACCAGAAACTACTGCCTGAAACCATGGAGAAGGAAGAAGAACACAGAAAGGAAACAACACCAAAATCCTCCATCTTGCCCCATACCTATCACTATATTATGAAAACCTCAAATTTAAAACCCTTCAGCATGTGAAATCTGTTTAACTACACAACTGTCACTCTAACTCCATCACTCAAATTTGGAAGTCTTCTCCAAAAGCAGTGCCAGGTCAAAAGCAGTGTTCTCTAGGGGGTCAGTACCAGAAAGCACAGAAAGCTCAAAAACCCCACGTTTCTGGGATCCAGCACTGGATATTGTGTTTTCCCAATCACATTCCTCCCTGTGTCTTTCAGGTCGCTGAAGAGCTGACTGGCAAAAAGGAGGCAGTGAAAAAAGAGAAGAAGAACGGAAAAGAAGAAGACAAAGAGGCCAAACTCCAGAAGGCACAAAAAGCTGGAAAGCAAGTAAGGCAATGACAGCAGGTTGTGAAGCCAGAGGCAGAGCTCATGTGTGGGCAGAGGCTGTTTAGTGACATTAAACTGGTCACCAAAGCTCCAGGCTCAGGTTCAGGAGGCAAAGAACTGGCTGAGGTTGGTCTCTCTCAGCCTTTCCATGGCCTCAGTGATTTTGGGGAGCTTTTTACCTCTCATGTTTTAGGAATGGCCATGACTGAGCTCCATGGGAAGAGCTGATGGAGGTGCAGACAGTCAGGGATATAAATGAGGGCAAAAATACACTTCAGGGCTTTGGGATCATTGCCAGGGCAGTCAGACAGGTAACAAAGTGGGAACCAAGCATTCCCACTTTTAATGTGGGTACAGAGAAGTTAATTACTGCCAGCCCTTGCAGAATTAGGAATCAAGAGCCTTTGTCTCACTCAGATACCCACCTCTTGTGTGGATTTCAAACTAATTTTTAAACCACATCAGCCAGCATTTCATAAACCTGTGAATAAAGCCATGCATTTTCAGCCCACGTTCTCAGGGTAGGAACTGTTTTTGTTCCAGATGTCCAATACCCCCTGAAATATTTGAGATAAAGAGCTGCTTTCACAGCAGACACGCTTCCAAATTATTTCAGGAGCAACTTCACAGAGCAAAACACCTGTAAAAGAGAGCAGTGACCAAAGGGCATCTTCAAAATCAAGCTGTGCAACAAAAATTGTCAGCTTTCGCTGAAACAGCAGCTTTTGTTTCTCATTTACTTCACAATATAATCAAAAGTTGAAACAATATATATTTTTTTAATAAGGATCATTAATCTCTCACTAAATATGTGGAGGAGAAGGGTGCATTTTCTAGGGCAAAGCTTACTCTTCACTGCAAGTTTTACACAAATTAATTTGAAGGCCTAACCCTAGAACAAATATATTTCAAAAAAATTATGCTTTTCTTGGACAACATCCATTAATATGGCCAAAGCTCTCAGAACTTTTAGCCAAGAACCTAAATTACATGAATGGAGGAAGGATCAGTCAATTTAATTGGAAGGTAGATACCTAAATGTTAACTTGTAAATGAGCATCTTGAAAACACTATTTGGGGGTTTGGGTGGGTTTTTTTTTTTCCCTTTGTAAATGAAAATACACAGCAGGCTGAAGGAACAAAATCATGAATGTTTTTCAGGGTCTTTAAGCCTGATTGCTTAACTTTGCTAACTAGGAAGGGTTGTGGCTGCTCCTGTGCAAACAGGAGATGTTTTTAAATTCTAGTCACACGTGTCTTCAGTCAGTCACTTGTTATTGTGACCAGTTTGTTGGGTGACACTGTCAGGGCACTGGTGAAGCTCCTAAAACTGGATGGCACTTCACCCATCTGCTTAAAAACCTGACTTTCACAGGATAAAATTTGCTTCCTTCTTAGTTCCGGAAGATAAGAACCAACAAAAGCAAAAATGTGTCTCGATCCCCTCACAGTCTCTGCAAGGCTGTTTTGAATTGGGGTGAAATAACAGCGTGGAGCTCTGGGGTTTTATAACTCCATGTCATTCCCATCTCCTCAGCCATCACAAGTCCTGTCAAGTAAAATTCTGAGCCATTATATCAGGTTCTCTATGGTTCATTGAGAAAGAACAAAGGGAACATTCTTTCCAAGGTTATAGCACTGACAAGGGGAAAAAAAAAGAGTATCTTAGACCAGTTGAGAAGCATTTGGAAAAGTTTTAACAGCAGGACTCTTATTAAAATAAGTATAGGCTATAAGTCATAGGGATGCAGGCAGAAAAAAAAGCTCTGCTCCCAACTTCAGCTCTTAAAGAAAACAAAAGTTTGATCCCAGAAGGAAATTTAAGTATTTTTGAAAAGCCTGATAGCAATCTTAACAAAGAGTATTTGATATCAAAGTAACTTCACTTTCTTTTCTCTGCAAGGTGCTGATTTGATTTCCCATTAGGCACCTAAGGAAAAAACAACCCATGGCTTCATCCCCACAAAATCCCTCTTTCCAAAAGCAGAACCAGTGTGGACTGCCTCACCCAGTAACCTGCTGGAGCTCACTGAGCATGAGCAAGGCTGTGCATCCCTGAATTTCACCCAGAAATGTCAAAGAGTGAGACCCATTCCTGTCCTTAGTGAAACCTCTTAGGAAAATGTCCATAAGAAACGTGCACAGTGGAGACAATTCAGTTTTCCCTGCTCAGAAATAGATTCAGACTCTTATTTCCACATTTCTGCTTAAATTCAAACATACATTGCTGGTTCAAGGGGCCTTAACACATTTCAAACAGAACAAGCACAGACTTAATCCACTGAAAATCAAAAAATATATGAATTGGTTTCAAAGGAAAAGTTATTTTTGTTACGTTGACTCTTAGGCTGTTAATTGAGGCAAGAAACAGAACTGCAACTGTCCTTTAGGCACAAGAGAGTGGATTTGATTAAAATCAATTAAATTGACACAATGATATCATTGATATCAGTGTATAAAATCACTGAAGCAAATAACTAAAACAATTCACTGGCTTATTTATAACAATAAAATGTTGATGTGTCCTGTGGTATTGAGAGGATAAAAATGAATAACCCATCTTTAAGCTGGTTTGGGGGAATTTGTTTGTTGGGTTTTTTAATGGTTGACACATTTCCTCTCAGAACATCATGGTTTCATTATTTTCTATAAAATACCATGGAAAAAATGATAAAAGAAGGATTCTGCCTACTGCAAGTGATTCAAGGATGAACCTCAAAGTGACACACCCTGTGAAACTGGGAATGCATTGGAGTAACTGGGATTTGAGCTCCAATCCTCCAACTTTTTGTTACACTTTACCAAAACAGTTCTTGATGTTCAGTCAAGAACCTCCTGCGTCTCTTTCAAATGCATCTATAGGGTAGAAGTGATAAAAGTATTTAGATTTTTCCTGTCCTTCTGGGCCCAAACTGTAATTACTATAATAATAATTTAATTAAAAACAAATATTTGATAACTCACGTAATGGGGCTGCAACTGTACCTGCAGGTAGCAGATATGTCCCTAATTACAGGGCTTATTTAGAGGGGTGTTTTATCTTAATCATTCCAGGAGCTGCACTTTCTATCTTGCTGATAACAAGGGGTTTGCAGGTTTTTTAGCAAAATCCTGATCCACCTTGTGCTGTCTGGTATAAATTCCACATTCACCTCCTCCCCAAATAGTGATCTAATCTTCCTCTTACTCACATCTTGAGACTTACAACTGATACAAGATAATTAAAATAATTTTTAGGAGGTTTTTCACTCAGCAATAAAGGTTCAATGAAATTAAACTTTTTCAGGAATATGGCAATAATAGCAAAGTAACTGAAAAAAATGGCATTAAAATTAAATTCCATTTAAATATTGCAAGTCTCCTACCTAAATAACATTTTCAAACAAGCTGGAGTTTAATTCCTGTTTAATTTTGTGACTTCAGCTGATAAAGCGACACCCCTTCTCTCATGGAGCAACGTGGGCTAGTGGAAGGTGTCCCTGCCCATGGCAGGGGGTGGAATAGGATCTTTCAGGCCTTTTCCAACCCATTCCATGATTCTGTGGAACAATGCTGTCAGCAATTCCTCTCTTCACTTTCCCCCCCAATCTAGGTAGTGGATGAAGGCTGGAAAATGGGTCCAAGCAATTTCCTTTCCATACTGGAGGAAGGAAGCTCTCAGTACCAAGGTCAGTAGAAAAAGATAACAATTCCAGCTGGAATGTTCTCCCAGATCAGCTTCATCAGAGTGTCATTCCTGTAAGGTCAAGTGGGCAGCTGCCCAAACTATGGAATGTTATAAAAATGATATTTAGGAAGGGAGTCCCTCAGTACCTCAATTCTTCCAAGGAATCTGTCAAAACCATTGAGCTAATCTTGCAGGAAGGGACATTTCTGTGGGTGAAAGTGAACAAACTCAAAGCAAAGTGCTTCAAATACATATAAAAAAGGCATTTTAGGATTTTCTGAAGGCAACAGGAATGACATCAGAATAGCCAATAATTCAAAAGCACTTGGAGATCAAGTTTCAGCATCAATGTTTTCACACTCCTGCAATTCTACTTGTCCTGTCTCCTCCAAGAGTGAGAATTCATGGAAAGAGTCCATGGATTCCTTCACAGCATCCACAGCTACTCAAATGATTTTTGATTATATGTTTGAATAGGAGGAGCATCTTCTCAAGCAGAGGCACAAAACTATGGATGTATTTCCTTCATGCAAAGTGTGTGAAACTAAAACATAACCCAGACTTCCAGCAAGGGGCCTGGCTCGTTTTTCACCTGGAGAAAGCACCAAAAAGCAGGGATTTCTTAATAAAAACCACAAAAGGGCATTTTGTTCTTTTCCAAGTCTCTTCTGTCCTCTCCTCTGCTTTTGATACTTCTGTTTCTCTCTTCAACACTTGTCCTCAGTGCTCACCCTGGTTCACAATGAGTTAGGAAGTCTTGCACTTGTCTAAAGTAGAAGACAAGTAGAAGTGGAAAATGGGGTTATTTTTGCTGTATCTCTGCAGATTCTGTTCTGATACAATGTGGAAAAATATCTTTTCTGCTCTCCACTCTTCAGAGTTAGTGCCTTGCTAAAATTCCTGGTATGAAAAGTTTCCATTATTCCCTCCTGCTGACAAATTACTGGCGTCAAGTTTTCTGCCTGATTTGAGCTGGCTGCAGAGAAAAAAGTGAACAACTTGCTAAATGTGCAGCAGTAGTTTGGCCTGACCTCTGACTTGTAACAATTAGGATTTTCTTACATGTTATAAATCACAGAGCAGCTTTCTGGCTAAAAAGGAGCTTTGCATCCCATCTCCTCTCAAATACCACATCAGAACCCTGCTGAAGGCAGCAGGAGCTTTAGATAAGGATCAGATCCATCCAAACTCCTTTCCTTAGCTGGCCAAGGACGAAATGGCACCTGGAACTCAAAACCAGCTGTGGCAAGAGTGGGGCTGTCACCCAGCAAATCCCCAGGGCAGGGAAGGAGCAGCGTGGGAGCACCAGAAGGGAGGTGGGAGGAGTTTGCCTTGGAGGGAACATGCTCAACACAGCAGTGGATCCCAGAGTGAGGAACAGAAACACCCCAGGGGTCAATAGGTTACTTTGATAGCAATGGAGAGTCCCAAATTTCACACCTATCTCGTGTAATAAGCCAAGGGGTTCACGAGAGGCTGGGGGATTTGTCACCCAAATTGTATCTGAGCACCAGCACTGCCATTCCCAGCAAGACTCCTGCTCTGAGCCCTGCAAGCACAGAACTTTTTGGGGTTATTCACACAGTGAGAGTGCCTCTGTGATTCCCATTTCCCACTTAAACACCCACACATCTCCAGCCCGTCCTGCTGGAGCTGGCAGCTACTCCCCAGCTCTGAAGGCACATGAGAAGGAGCCTTTTCTGCACAGAGCACAGCCAGCAACCCTGAGAGTGGAAAAGCTTTTTTGCAGGCTTCAAAGAATACCTGCAGTTCTGTCTTAGGCACAGGAAGAGTCTATAGCTGTGCAGTTAAACTTAAGGTGGGTTTTGTTTCCCCTCTTTTTCTCCTGGTGAACCAGGTCCATTTGACGCCACACTTATTTTTAGTAAACAGCTGTTAATTCCTCCTTGCAGCACAATCCCCTGCCTCATTCACTTTGGGCTTTTCATTGCAGGGGACTCACAAAATACTACCTGGGGGTTGTCCAAAATGATTTTATTTTTAATCTAACCATGGATTCTTTAGTCATCAGAATCAAATCTACAACATCCACCCAGTGCAAGCAGTCTTTTGTATTTTCAATTTTAGGCTGCTTTCCTCTCAGTAGCAGAATTATGCGGGAAAAAAATAGGTCTGAGTTTGGACTTTCTACCGAGAACTTTTTTGTTAATCTTATGTAGATATAGGTCACTTGCTATTAGCACTTGCACAGAAGTTCAGACTTATTAGTGCAGAATTCTTGAAAACATGATTGAAACAACAGAGCTTGATTAAGAAATGTTTGTATCAGGAGTAATTCAAAGCCCCTTACAAGTGTGTCTAAAGTTTACTTAAATAACAGCTGACCAAACAACAAACATCTTTGGCACACTTCATTTTAAGAAAGTGTTCCCATCCCATGAAACTGGTGCTTTATACATAGCTTACTTAAATATTTTTTAAATATAGATCAGTTTTGACAAAAAATCTAAACATTTCACTTACAGACTTTTTCACTCTGTGTTTTTAACTCCTCTACCAAGCTAGAGCTACTGCCTAAACTTCACTAGAATTCATGAAGCCTTTTATCCTCCTAGAACTGTATCTGGCAGTTTTTCTAGTTGCTAAACTACACTTGCCAAGCCCTAAAACCTTTATTTTAAATTATGTGGTTGGAAACAGCCTCTTGGTGTGACATCTCCTTTCACACTGGAATAGCCAGAGCTTTTGTGGGGCAAATGTAAGGCTGAGCCATTTCCTCCCTCTTCCTGGGGTGTATTTTTGCAGTGTGAGGCAGCAATGTGCTATTTCCCCCACTCTAGAGATGAACAGTTGATATTTATGACTTGCTCAGTGTCACAGAGGATATTTGAGTTCAAATACTCCATGATGTATCCAAATATTCCTTTAAGATGTGGTGATACTCTGTATTTTTAACTAGCATTCAAAAGATTCAGATCCTTTTGCCAGGAGGTTCAAAGTGGCCATTTCAAGAGAAGCTCCATGCTTCAAATAAATAGATTGCAATTGTTAGTCACAGGCTGTTCTCTAAAATTCTGGGATATTGGAGTTCCCTAGTGGCCTGCAGAGCTGGGATGCTGATTTAGGAGTGGTCTGGGCTGCCTTTGAGCCCTGAGCTAGCTGTGCATATAAAACAATCCCAAAATAAGCATACACTATTTTAGAAAAGGTGACATAAATTTCACTGCATACACACAGGCACAGAAATAGCTCCTGGAGCTGGCTGACCCTGCCTGTAACAAAATACCAGACTCTGCTGACCAGCCAGTGAAAACATAACATCCTTAGCCTCCTGACCCCCCTTTAAAATTAACTTTGAAACATTCTGTTGATCTATAAAAGAATAACAGAGCATCTAACACCTATGAGTTATTGATCTCTCTACTAAAATTAGGCACCTCTAACCCAGTGGTTAATATAACACTCAGATAACTCAGTGCCAGGTAATATCAGAGTCTGGAGGGACCCTCCCTGGTTTGCCTGCAGTGGGTATTAACCACTAATCAATCTACAAAATGACAACAAACAATTATGAAAAAACAGAATAGAAAAACCTACAGATCCCTCTATGAAAAATAAATATCTAAAGCCTTGCACTCCTGTGAAAACATTAGCATTTGCAACCTGTTGACCCAGTCAAGAAAGTGTTTAAAAATTCACATAACTCCTATGTAATGTCCCCTTTTCCCAAGGCTGGAATTCCAGGCTGGAAGAGCTACCTCATAACTTGGGCAAATCAGCTTTTCCTCCTGAAATATTACATGACATCTGTCATGCCCTCTGATGACCTACAAGTAATTTAAAGAAATTAAATGTCTGTACTTTGGAGTTTCTTCCATTACCAAAATATCCCCTGTCCTCCTCCATCCCCACTATTCTTAGTGGTGAAATTAAGATTACTCACCTGCAAGAACTATTCCCTCTATAAACTCTGTAAACTACAAATCCTCTGTGTGGAATTGGGCCCTGAAATTTTGTTGGGGATGGAAAGAGCAGCCAGTCTTGGATTAACTACAATTTGGATTCTAAAACCTTTCTGAATTTGCACAGTGCCTTCAGCAGGCAAGGGGTGCAGGGGAGAATATCTGTACAAAACAGATTCATAGAGGAGCCAAGGTCTTAAAGTGGAAAACTATCATTTCAAATTATCAGGAAATTGAATTAGCACATACAGCTGGAGATTTGCTGTCATTTAGGAAGATACAATCAGGCCTTGAAAGGCAAGATATGAATTGTCTTCCTTCAAATTAGCTCAAGAAGTGTAGGAAAAAAAAGAGGTGTTTCCATTAAAATAAGGCACTTTGCTAATAGCAGAGGACTCAGATATGCACTGAGCTCGTCAGACTTCATTTCGTTTTCTTTCTAAAGAGCAAACTGCTGTTTGCCTCAACAAAAATAACGATCTGCACCTCAGGATCATTAGGTACTTTATCATAAATAGCTTTTTTTCCATCACCAGTTTCACAAATTTGCTGTGACTGGGTGTTAGGTTTCCTTATTACTTCTCCTTTGCACAGCACTTCAGAAGAGAGGGGCTGGATCAGGTGGGTCTTGTCTCTTTTGGGCTGAACTGCCTTTCAATTTCTGCATCAAGCTTAAAATTCCCCAAAGTGCAGCCTGTGTGTGGCCATGCGTCCCCTGTGGGTCAGCTGCAGGTTATTGCTCTGTCACACTCGCTGTCCCCTCTCTCTCTCCCACTTCCACATGCTCCGTGCTGGTTTTATTCCTATTCCAATGGCCCTGCTCCCGTGTTTCAGCCTCCTGGGAATTACTACAAAGGCCAGCTCACCAGGATGCAGCAGCTTGAACCGAGCCATGGGGAGAACAGGGAAATCTGTGGTTTGAATGAACCCCCTTCCTTTGGTCCCCAAGCCTGTGTCATGCCAGCCAAGTGACACTCGTGGACAGCACATCCTGCAGGGCACGAGCCACCCCTGTGCCTTCTTCATGGAAAAGATTTCGGCCCTGTGCTCTTAAATAGAACAAAATAATGCCAACATCAGGCACGGGACAGGGCTCTTGGAAACTGAGCACACTCCAGACTTTCAGCTTTACAACCTCCAAATGACAACCTCGCTATCCCATTATCCTCCTGAATCCTGATACCGTTTTGCAACCTAAGGCAAAAGAAGAAATCCCTTAACCCCAGGATTTGCATATCCTAACACAACAGGCTCTGAACTTGGTAAGGGTCCCTAGAGCCTGTTACTTTCACACAGCTCATCATTTAATAAAAGCTGCCTACACCTACCCTTTCTTTTGCCTCCAGAAGCAGCTGGAGAAACCAACGGCTGCTGTAACTTTTCCCCCTTTTTTCTTTCTTTTGGCTAACAGTCTTTTGGGAGAACAGAGATAACAGATCGGATTTTCTCCAGGATCATGACCCAGAGCTGATCAAAAGAGAGGAACGGGAAGAAGTGGAGGAAGAGATCAGAGTGCAGGTGTGCTTACAATAGCAAGAGGACACTCACCATGTGCATTACCTGTGTATATTTTCCTCCAGCTGTAAGAACTGGCCCTGGCACAGACCTTCCCTCCTTCCAGAGTCCCTACTACCTGTTCTTTGCTTTCACACTTGTTCAGCTGAACAATTGTGTGGGGTGAGGTGGCAGAACAGAAAACTGAGGAAGATTCCACTGTGTTTTGTCTTGAGCAGGTCGATGAAGTGATGCAAGAGAAACTGCTGAAAGTCAAACAGGCTGTGGATGGAGAGACAGGTCCTCACGGTAAAAAAGCTGGGAAAAGTGACAAGGTAAGAGCAGCAGGCTGGGAGAGTTGAGGGGCAGTCTCAGTCCCCTGCCCAGGTACAGTGGTGGTCAGTGCAAACCTCAGGTACAAATATCAAAATGTCCCCCCGAAACATTTACTGAATCTCAAGGCAGGAACATCTGAAAATCTCTTCACCTGTGGCTATTTTCAGGGCCTTCTCCATTAGCTCTTGTTCTTTAACTTGTATAAATACTGCTTAGGACAAGTTCAGCTGTTCCAGAGATAAAGCACTACAAGATATTTCAGATTTTCACCCTCCTGAAATCCTTGGATGCAGTCAAACAGAAAAATGGAAGCAATCTCTCTCTCTTTAGAGTGACCAGTTCAGATTAATAGTTTTCCAACAAAAACAGGGATCTGGAGGCCAGTTTTCCAGCTGCTGGCTGTTTTCCTCCTGAATAAGGACTGGTTATTATGTTTCAAGACTGTACACTAAAAAAATTTCCCTCTGAATGTTTTGATGAAACCTTTCATTTGTCTGTAACACCACATAGATCACACACAGCCAGGTACTCATTATGTTACTACATCCTATTGAAGGGCTTGGGAATTTGCAATTAAGCCAAGTTTATTTAGGCATAAAAAATAGGTTAAATCCCCCAAAACACAATACATGTCATGTTCACATCTAGTTTTACAGCATTATCATACAAAGAATTCCACAGCCTGTGGTTCTCTAAAATTCCTTACCAAAGCATTTAAATTAGAGATCATGTCAGTGCAAAATAACTCAAAGCTTACACCCCACCACTCAATCAGCAGATCCACTTAAAGCCCTCAGGGCAAATAGCCAGCCCTAATCTCATGCTGTATTTCATTTCTGTAATACCTTTTAGCATGCAAATACTTGCTGTTGCTCTACTTCTACTCAAATTATCTTTAAAAATGCTCCTTCACCTGACAAACGTTCAGGGAAATTCTAATAAGAAAAGACTGGAGCAGCTCTGAAAGCTGATCCCAATTGGATTCCTAAATCTGTTTCAAAAATGGGGGGGGCTTAAGATATACAGACAAAATATTGAAAATATTGCAACAATCTCCCCCAAGTTTTCATGGGCAGACACATTTAGATCAGCTGGTCAGTGCCCTGCTGCAAAATGTCACACTGGAATTACAGAACTTTATCTTAGGGGCTGGGTTGGGGTTTGGGGGGTTTTTTGGGTTGGTTTTTTTTTTCCTTCAATGTAGTTTTGGAATAGCTTAGGGTGGAGGGAGATTATTTAACTTTTATTTTCCCAAGTTGTGCCAGTAGCCTGAGAGAATGAGGCGGGAAAAGAAGTTCTAATTAGATAATACAACTTTCTTAAAGATTTTATCTAAAAAAAACCCCACCCAAGCCCAAACAGTTCTATTTGAGGAATGGAGAATGAAAGGAAAGATGCAGGGTTAGTCAAAACACATCTTCCCTGTTCAGAGCCATTTAAAATGTCCATTCAGCATTGGTAAAGGCTTTTTCCAATTAGTATTTGCATAAAAACTCAGTCATAAACCAAACCAGTGCATACCTGTGCACACAGACTGTAGATATGCTTTAGGATAACCTGGTCTAGATAATAAAAATAACATGAGCTGGTAAGTTTTGGAAATAGCTCATTAATTTATTATTCAGCAAAAAAATCTAGTTTTTCAAGCCGCATCCAAGGTCCCCCTCAGCTATGCAGCATGAAATAACAGGTGGTTGTTTCAGGTTCTCATTGTAGCCAGGAGCGTGTCTGGACTACAATGTGAAACATCCCCCTGCCAAAAAAAATGGGGATATTCTGCAGTTTCAAGAGAATTCGACATTCTTTAGAGAAATCAGACCTTTTCCTGCACTCTGGCAGTGGGCAAGGGGCAATGAAAGGGTAATTTCTTTAGGAGAACTTTCACAGGTGGAATTTTGTGTCTAGGGACCATCATTCCAAATTCCTGATGCCACATTTGGCCATTCCCTCTGTTTTAGGGAGGGACTTCTTCTGCTCTCTTTGTCAAGAATAGTCCTTACCAGAGGCAGGTATTCTGTGCCTTTCCAAGCCTCAGAAAATTTCTGTCAAATCCATATTTAATACAAAAAATCTGCATGACCCACAGGAACCAATCTGAGTTTTCAAGTCTTTTGTGGGGAATACAGCGAGGACATTTTGGAACTGGACTCTAAAGGGAAATTTCTCCCCTCCAGTCAGTGTTCCAGACATCTCAGTTCTTAGATTTAAGAAAAACATTATATAACAGCTCCAGGCCTACCCAGAGCCACTCCTTTATTTCCATAAGTACTTAATCACTGATTCTCAAACCTTCAACTACCACTTACTGCTAAAAGCTGACACTTAACCCTACCAAGAGCTGCTCTCACAGCCGCTGAAGATAAGAACCCCATTTGCCAGCTTTGTGGAAGAACAAACTTGGGTGAAAAAATTGTTCTTCTCATGACAAATGGGTCTCCAGAGCAGTAGACTGATCTGGTAACAGCAAAATTAATTAGATTGCACCTAATAGTCACTAAGCCACACTGCTATCACTGGAGTCACAGATCCTGTGCCTCTTCCCAAGCTGGAAGCTTCCCAGACTGTCCCACCTTTATGACCCAGCACTGACAGGGGTAGAGCAGAGTGTCCTGTTTAAGAGACACACTTTGTTGGACTCTGATTCTTCCTAGTCCAATGACTGTCACTAGAAAGGGGATGAGGGTACAACAGAAAGAGAGGAATGTGGGTCAGCTCTGCTGTAAACTGTATTTTCCTTCACTTTGCACAGTGGCAGCTCATCCCCTGCCCAGGCAGGGATCCCCAAGCTGGGACTGGGAGCACTGGGAAAGGACAGGCTGAGGACAGGCTGGGAGGGAGATGTCCTCTGAGTGAGGAACATGGCAGTCGCTGACCTGGAAGTTCCATTTAAGAGCTTATCAGAATGCTTTCTCTCAAGCCTATTGTGCTGCTTTTCCTGCTCTGCTCCCCCAAGGATTTATTTCTGATCCCCACTGCAGGTAAAGCAATGCATTGGAAATGAACACACCCACACACACACAAAGGCATGGCCAGAATTCAGGGGGGGAAAAAAAGAGACAGAAAACCCAGGAAAGGGGGACATGAGAACCCAAGTGTGGAAAACTTGTTTCAACACAGCTTTGGAGATCCCTTCTTGGTGAAACTGGGGAGAAGCAAAGCCAACCACAGATGGCTGTGACAGAAATATTGACAAAAGCAAAGCCAAAGAGAAGGAGGCCAGAAGAGAAGCTGGGTGAGAACTGAGGAAAGGCTGGATTGGAGGGCTGTGATTCCCAAGCCCTGCTGGGTTTCCTGTGACTTCTGCACACAGAGCTCTTAGCCAGCTGTGGGATCTGTAACCTCTTTGGTTGCTGTGCCTAAATCCAGCAGGGACTGCAGATCAGAGTCCCTCATTCAGCAAGTTCATTAATCACTGGGAATGTCTTTGTCTAAGCATTTTTTCAGTGCAAGTGTCAGAAGCTGCTTGTTTTATCTGCACTGCCAGAAAAGACTTCTCAACCCAGGCTCAGTGCAAATCTGCACTTGCTCCCGTCTTAAGCATCTCACAGGATCCAAGGAATCCACTAAAAAACTGCATCAGCTGCTGCTGGTTTCCCTTAAACCACAGGAGCACTTTCCTCTTGTTACTTTTCAACAAAGGAATCTACAAGAAACACAGAGAGGGACTTGTTACAACAGCATGTAGGGGCAAGGAGGAATGGCTGCAAACTGAGAGTAGGTTTAGATGGGATATTAGGAAAAAATTTCCTCCCTGTGAGAGTGGGGAGGGCCTGGCACAGGGTGCCCAGAGAAGCTGTGACTGCTCCTGGATCCCTGGCAGTGTCCCAGGCCAGGTTGGATGGGGTTTGGAGCAGCCTGGGATAGTGGAAAGTGTCCCTGCCCATGGCAAGGGTGCAACTGGATAATCTTCCAAACCAGTCATTCCATGGTTCCATGACCCGTGGTGGCCACAGCTGCAGCCAGGACTTGGGAGATCACAGCCAAAGGGTGATACAGATCCTCCAGTTCCAACCGTTTCCCTCAGGGAGACATTTGGATACCCTCTCCCTCCTGGTGCCATTCCAGCAGCAGACAATGCTCTGGAATTTGGTCTGAAATTGTGTTCCTGTATGCTCCAACCTCTGAGCTACCCAAAGAATTTTGCTGAGCCCCCAGAGCAAGAGAAGCCACCCCAGTGGGCACAGGGGACAGCCCTGTGTCCCTGCCAGCTGCCACCTGAGCAGCTCACTTCACGGGAGTTGCCAAAGCAGAAAATCACCCAGCCAAAGGATGGCTACACAGAAGCTCAAGTGACTTTTCAGACAGACAAGCAAGGAGATTTCCATTCTAAATAACGAGCATGTTCACATTCATTGAACATTATCTTTTCTAAATAAAAGCCATTCCCAGTAAGACATTTTGGAGGCAAGCCATTGTCTACAATTCATATTTGCCCTTATCACATCTCAGCCTGTGCCAAATTCCCCCCAAATGCTGTTGTTAATTAGGAAAACACATTTTTCCTCTGCACAGTTCATTTTTGTTTTGCTCTGGAGTTACTTTATTGGTGAAGCTGCCTTGAGGACAATACCAGTTGGCCAATAAATTCAACATATGCTTAGTGTCTTTACATAGGTTGAAACGAGCTTTTCTTCCCAGCCAGACCCGAATATATGTAATTTCTGGCTTGTTGGAAGAAAGGTTAAAAAGACAAAACAGGAGGAACAGCAAAAATAAACCAATGACAGCTTCAATATTTCCGCAGTTTTTAAAACATCATGGCATGTGCTTTCTTCTTCCCATTGCTTTTCTTCAAAACAAAATCCCCCCTGGCACATTTGGATGAATATTTGCTGCCAAACTTACTTATGTAAAGAAACCCAAGATATAGTTCTCCAAATACAGAGTTGTTTGCTTTATCCTAACCCAAAAATATTATAACATCTCCTTTTCCCAGTTAGCTGATCCATATAGTGCTGGGTTTAGGCTGCATTTTCATCTGGATTATCTTTGTGGCATCGTAAACAGTAACAGGTGATTGAACCGCAGGTTACTTACATTGTGTCTGTCCTTGAAAACCTGAAATTGATGTATTCCTGAAGGCTGCTGATCTATTCTGTGAAAAAGCCCAGCATTTTCCAGATAATTGGATAGGATTTTTTTAACTCAACAACGCAGCCTCCAGAGCTCTGCAGAAGTATTCACTATTATAAAAGAAGCAAAGTAAATGACTGTATTCCCAGGAAAGCGAACATAAACGTTTGGAAAGAATAAGCTGTCTTGTTCAACTAAGCATTTAAGCACGTGCTTAAATTTAAGCTGTTGGAGAAATCCCCTGGTGCACCAAGGTTTCTGTGTAAACAATTTCACTGGAGCAATCCTGAAGTGCTTTGCAGGACTGGAGCTCGGACACCAGTGGTGGGCACTAACCTGGATTAATGATGCCCTCTCCACACTACTAATTATCCCTAACCGTATTTATGGCTCCTGAGCTGTAATTAATGGAGGGGCTTGACAAGCCCGAGTCACATCTTCCTTATTTATGTTTGCCATGATTTTTTTTTTTTTTTTTTTGCAATATATAAAGAAATGAGGCACACGAGTCAAAATATTTCTGTGGTGAAATTGTGGTGAAAATATGAAAAAAAACAGGTTGTGTTTTTCTGACCTCTTCCAGCTTCTTCCCTGAGGCATTAGGAAAGAGAAGGATGACCAGTGGTTAGGAGGGTAGCCAGAGTCTCAAGAGCTTTTCCCCTCAGAGAAGCTGCTTATATATTTTACTTCAATATATATATATATATTTTTTTTTTTTTTTTAAAGGCGGTCTCTGGAACAGCTACTTGGACCCCACACCCTTTTCCTTCCTGCTTCCTTCTTGAGCAAGGGCCATATCCCCCCCTCACCCACAGAACTGGGTTCCAGAAAAAATCATGGAATAAGAATCAAACAATTGGAAAAGGTCTCTGAGAGTTCAACCCTTAACCTGCACTGCCAAGGCCACCACTAAAACCATGGCCCCAAGTGCCACATCCACAGAGCTTTTAAATCTCTCCAGGGTGGGGATTCCACCACTGCCCTGGGCAGCTGTGCCAATAAAAGTTGTCTAATATCCAACCAAAAGGAAGGAGAGAAGCTTCTTGGAGCAAAATGACCCTGGGATGCTTTCCTATGTGGCAGTGGGACTGCTGTTTAAGGAGATGATTTTTCCCTTTGGTCTACATTCAAACACTGAAATATTGGCTGCTCTGGCTCTCACTTTGCTTCAGTACATTCAAAAATCTTTATCTGTGCTGAAGTCACTAATTCCTGCTTGCTTGTGTGGTCCTCAGGGAAGCAAGAAGACACCTGGGAAGAAAAAAATACCTGAGCTGGAGAGAGATCTGACTCCTGACAGGTAAGAACAACCTCTCTGCATTAGGTCTCCAATATCAACCTTGGTTTTCCTCATCTTCAGCAGCAAGCACAAATTCCAATGCCCATTCTGCTAGCACACACCACCAGGCCCCCTGCCACCACCTCCAGGCAGGTTAATTCCAGTTTGCAGAGCTAAGCACATGCGGCATTTCAGCAGGACACTGGCCCTGTGTGCCTCTCTCCCCTCTCTGCAGGTGCAGAAGCACCTGGCTGCTTTGGTGACTGTCAGATCTTCCATCCCAGCTGGAGCCTGGTAAGGGAGGCTGCAGACAGGCCTCTGCACTCCATACATCCCCCTTCATGGCTGGGCTGCAGTGTACATGTCATAAACCAGTCTCGTGGATCACTAAGAGTCCTGGCACACCTGGACATTTCTTATGGACCCTTGCTCTTTGAAATGCCCTTCTTTTATTTGGAGGGTCTGAGAGGATTTCTCCTTCTGCCCTGCCATTTTCAATGAGAGTGATGTGTTCCCTGATAATCCAGCCATTTTTCACCTGTGCACACAAGAGAGCCATCAGCACAGGGAGCAGCTGATCCAGGAGCAGGGCTGCAGAGCAGCACAATGACAAGGATAATCAGTGAAATTCACCCCACAAACCCATTGGTGCCAGAACAGCAAGACCTGCACTCAGTCATTCAGGTGCTGGCACCACACGATCAGCCAATGATCTCTTCACCTGCTTTAAAATGTATTTTAAAAAAACAAACCTCCAAGCAAATATTTAAAATCCATGTCTCATGGATTATAACAGAGCAGGACCTCTCCTACAGAACAGTGCCAAAGTCTACTAAGGAGGCATATATTCCCTGCTTTTAAAACTGCTCTTGCACATGCCTGCTTCTTTATATATAAACTTACCATGCAGCCAGCCGAAAACATGAGCTTTTTAGTAGCTGGCTTTTTATCAGGCATTTTGGCTCCATGCTTTGTTCTTCCCTGCTGAGCATTTCAGAAATAACCCAGAGAGGGGATGAATAAGATTCCAAATCTCCATTTTGGCCCCAGTGAAGGGAGCACAGGGGGCTTCAGTCAACAAAGACTGGTCACATCACACTCCCTTGGAGGAGCTCAGGACATGCATCATTTAACTGGCACAGTAAAAATAATAAACCGGGAAAAGTAAAAGTCCTGCTCCCACCAGAGCTGCCAGGTTAGTCCCATTCCACCTTCTGCCTGTTTTATGATGCATTCCCAGCATAAAACCACTGAGGATGAAAGCAAGAGTCAGAGCAGCAAAATCAACCTTGTTGAAGGTGCATTCAATTTTGGATTTGCTTATTGCTACTCGTACATGAATTGTGCCACTAAGACTGCATAAACATAAAACTCCTCAGCTGAAATGGAAAAAAGGCTGCAGACCTCAAATTATGCCTGTAGGTTTATTAGCCACCTGAGAGGCACTATTAAATATATTTATTGCAGCCAGACCAGGACATCCCAATTAAGATAGGTGAGAAAGACAGAATAATTGAGGGGAAAGAATGTGAAAAGTGTGCAAAAACACTGGGAGATCTTAAAAGATTAAAATCAATATTGTTTATGCTGTCAATACACTAAGAATTTCTGACAGGTGTATTCAGTTTACATCATCCCGGAAGCAGTACTGCTCTATAAAACCAAGTGCCAAAAGTGCCATTGAAATTAATACTTATAATTCCAAAAGAGAGTGTAGGGAAGATCCACATCAATAGAAAACCACACACAAATTTAAGTGTTTTAAGTCCTTCATTATTGGAATCTGCTTCCAGCCACTAATGGGGGTAGGGATAAACTTCCACTGGGGAAATTTTGCCCATTTCATGGAATCCCAGACTGGTTTGGATTGGAAGGGACCATAAAGCTCATCCAGTTCCACTCCCTGCCATGGGCAGGGACACCTTTCTCCATCCCAGGTTGCTCCAAGCCCTGTCCAGCCTGGCCTTGGACACTTTGAGGGATCCAGGTGAAACACTTCCACTGAATGTTTTTGCCCAGTCCCCCTCTGGCCAGCCTGAGGTGCAACACTGCAGGTGGTGGATCTGAGGGAGGTATTCCCAGCATGTTCCTGAAGAGATGAGGCTGTCTGTTGCAAGCACAATAAATTCCAAGAAGAATTAATGAATTAGTACTAATTGGAGAGCTGAGTGAATAGGTACAGTAGTGTTAGGATTACATTATTGTGTAATTTAAAAATAATTTCCCAGTAATTGATATTAATGAATGAGTCCATTACACAAGTCATAACTGATCTGGCATCACCTGGAAATGGGTAAATGGAGTCAGCAGGAGAGGGGCACCCAGCGTGTGAGAGAGGGAAAGAGATTCCTCAGCACAACACACAGAACTGTGTTCATTGATTTCACATTGATGGCACTAATCACCACTGCCTCTGAGCCTCAGAGTGCATTTATAAAGCTGGGCAAACACAAATAACTCTCAGGCTGGCTCAGTTCTGAAAGGACTGAGCTTTTCCTGACTGTTTCTGACTGATGTCTCTTGCCTGTAGGACCATTGATTCCCTGTACCAGGAACTTGCAGAAGAAGGATTGCTCATCCAAGTCAAGAATGTGAATCTCTCTGACTACATTGGTAAAGTACCCCTTTTACAGCAAACGTGGTGTCTGATCAAACCTGCAGCCATTCCACCTTCACTGACCCCTGTTTCTAGTCAAGGCTGAGGTCAAGAGTCACTGCACTTTGAATATCTAAAGCCAGGTATGCAAATCAAGTCTGTTTCTGCAGGCTGCTCAGTACCTTTCACTTCTGCTACTGAGCCCAGGAGCTGTTTGCAGAGCTGGTGTTTAACTCCAGGCAGCAACACCTGAAAGCCTTGAATGGTTGTAGATGTCCCAGCCACTCTAAGGTGGAACCAGAACATCCTTTAGGAGCCCTTGCCAGGCAGTGGCAAGACAGTGCAAGTCTAACAGAGCAGGGCTCATAATCCATGCAGAATATTTCCCAGAGAACAGCAAAAATTGTACCTCCAGCTTTTGTTCACTGAGCAGAGAAGACTCGGCCCCTTCCTTGCACCTCCCTGACTGCCCACAAACTTTGAGCAGTGCTTTGAGGCATATCTGGCCCTTCATTTGAGTAAGATGTGTCTCTGCCCAGTTCTGCATTTCACACTCCTCTTGTCTGGTTTCTGTTACCTGCAACTGCAGCCAGACCTGCTTATCTATGTTCTACAGGGAAAAAAGGAGTAAAAAAACCCCAAACCCCACGTTTTCAGACTTTAGAGGGGTCTAATACCATGTCCACAAACGTTTGGTGACACACAGTGAAATCACAGCATCTTAAGAAGGAAAAAAAAAAAAACAAGATTCAGGTAACTTCAAAGGCCATGGTTTGAATCAGTAGTGCTACAGGTTGATAGTACAAGGCTAAGACAGAGAAGACAAATTCTCTTCTATCACCCCCAAATGCCATGTTTAGATCAACTCTTGGAAGCACCAGTTCAGCCTCCAGAGCCTCTTCCCATTCCTCTGATGAGTTGTTAATTCTCTGAATTAACGAGTATCCCATCCATTTCATGCTCATTAAACACCATGAAGTAAAGGAAGATTTTCATTCTTCCTTTGTTCTCCCAACCTATCAAGGTCACTTTTGTCCAACAAGCATTCCCCCACCACAAATGCTTTTAAAACAGCACACCTCCAACAATTTTCTGAAATCCAGAAAAACTCTCTTGAAGGGTCCAAGGACACAGTCAAAGCCTGCAGAGAAAGACATCTTCATCTGCTCAGCCTTCCAGGGCTGAAGCCTGAGGAAGGTCACTTCCAGTTCCTGGGGAAAGGACAAAGAGTGGAACTGTGCTACACAGCCAGTAAAGGCACTAAAATGTCCCCCTTCTATGACAAACTGACATCACTGAACTAATTTTCTTGGTGACCTTATCTAAATTAGTCAGAGAATATCCACTGTGATTTATGTGCAGTTGCAATTAAACCCTTTGATGCCTTCTAATTAAATCTGTGAAGATTAATTCCTATCCTGTTCTTTTGATTTCTCCTTAAATAAAAGATAAAATCTGAAATTAATTTTATTCTTCAGAGGGGAGGGGGCAGTTGCACCAGGGCTTGTCTGCCTTTTTGCCCCCAAATTATACCTCCACTTTTGCTCCTAACCACTGCTAATTTACCTCTGCTCCAGAGGCCTCTTGCCCTCTGCCTTTTTATCTCCAGTAAAACATAATATATTGTTATTTTTCAATAATAATCAACATAATGACATATAATTTATGCTAAAAATAATCACTGACTGCATCACAACTGGTTTTCCTGCTTGTGGCCCATCCTCCTGGATCTTTGTTCTCCAGTATTTCTTGGATATGGACTTCGACAGGGCAAGCAATGTGATTATAGCTCTGTAACCAGAGCCAAGGCAAGATTAAATTGTTTCAGTTCACATCAGGGATTTTTAGTTTTCTTAGGTTGTTTCTTTGAAGAAAAGGTGGGGGGGGGGAAGAGGTGAACTGCAAAGCAGAGAGCCCCACAAAATGAAGTGACACACAACACGTCTAACACAGCAAGGAGCTGAGATGGGACCCAGCCAGGAAAAAGCTTGTTAAAATAGCTTTTCTCCCTTTTTGAAATCCTTCTGAGAGCACATGGTTCACTGGGATCCTAGCCCTGCAAAATCCCAAATCCAGGAATCCTTTCCCAGCAGCGTGATTTATGGCACTGCTAATGATTCTTCTCCCCAAAGTTTCTTTAAAAGGTTACTCAAAACCGTCTGCTTTCTGCTGAACAACTTCCACAGCCTGCTCAGCTTCCATTTTCCTTTGCAGTTCACCTTTCTCAGGGCCACATTCCACCAGAATATTGCCCAGCTTGAGTCCCTGAGCCTGGCTTTGCTGAGTGTGTGTTACACCCCTGTTCTGTGGCAGCTCCTTAATCCCCTAGTTGTGCTTTTTACAACAGTGTCACATTTATTGAGCTCCTGCCTCCCCCTGACAGGCTACTACGACTGTCTGAGGAGCATCCTTCGTGAGACAGGTGCCCAGCCCGTGCCCTCCATCCCAGAAGTCAGACAGCTCGTGGCACTCTATGGAATATTGCCCCTGGGTAAGAGCACACCAGAGGACAGAACGCGCTGGGGCTTTGCTGCCTGCCAGAAAGGTGCATTTTACTGGCTTTGACAGGCCTTGATTAGTCGTAATCTGAAGCATTTTGCAGTCTAATTGTTTTTCAATGAAGCCTTCAGAGTGAAGGCTGGATCATTTTAGCAGTGCAGAAAGGCAGGGATCGCCTCCCCAGCCCATCTCTGTTTGCATGGCAACAGTTTGTGAATGGCAGCACATAAAGGGAAACCACTTGGGAAAGATAATAGCTAAAACAAGCTCCAGTGATCAAAGTTAATCAAGTTAAGGGAAAGGCTAAGGTTGCAATTTACCTTTTACAAGCTGGCTAATGTTACCCGGTGAAGCACGAGGCAATCGTTGAAGGAATTAGTCTGGATACATTTTGTTCGTGGTAGAGAACACTTGTAAATGCCCTTGCAGTTTTAATGCCAGGCTTAGCCAATATCTAGCAAGGCTTTGCTGGGTCAGTTTGTTTGCTTTTAATGTAAAATCTATCCCACATTTCACTTGGGAATGGCATTATGCCAAACTCCAGTGATTGCAAGAAGTGGCTGTCTTGGGGGCCTTTACTCAAAACCTCGTTTGTGTCCCTTTCCACTCCTGATTGGATTTTCCAGCCTCGATGTTTCATTTACATCCTTTTCCTTTCCTGAGTGGATCCCAGGGAGATTTTAAATAGGCATGTCCTCTCCCAGGCTGTGTCAGTGTCTGCTCATCCCCTTTGGAGAGCAAAATCACCAACATCTGCCTGCCTCCCACCTTGGAGAACAGAGCAAAGCTGACACAGAACTTCTGCTCTTTCCTCCTTCCAAAGACAGTGCTCAGGTTATTCTCTCTTCAGCCTGGATGGGGCTCTTCTCACCTGGAACACCCTCAGCTGGTTTGGAGTAAGCCCTCAGGGGCTGGCTGAAGGTCTGACTGCAATCAGCTGAGAGAGCTCAGCAGTTATCCCTGTCTGCACAACGTATTTCACATATCCCCAAACTCCTCCAAAGCTGTGTTTTGACACCATCTAATCTAGGGAAATCAAGCCCAGAGACACCCCTTAATCAAGAGAACCCATAAATTTTCTGCCATTTATACAATTGGCAAAAATTCTAGGGAGAGGAGACCCTGGACTAGTTAAACAAACAAAAGGTATTTCCAAGAGCAGTTTGAAAAATGCCTTAGAGTAACAAAAGATATTACATGAGCCAGAAAAAAAAGGGTACAGGAGTGGTTTCACCTATGAGGTGATATGTTACGGATGACATTTCACTTAATTGGTCTCCAAACTAGTTCATCATGAGATAATTGTGTATCACAGAAGTGAAAGTTTTTCTCAAAATAGCCACCTGATGGCAAGGAAAGCCCCAGCTTTAATGGCATTAAGAAAATTATAAGCAGCTGAAAGGAGAAAGAATAGTAGAAGCTATACTTCATCTTCAACACAGAGGAGTCTGCTGCTCCCCTCCTAATAAATCTTTGTGCAATAGTAATGGATTGCTATGGAATGACCAAATATTAATAAAGCCTGTGTGGCTGACAACTTCCTACACCCTGCACCATGCTGGAATAATGGCATTTGTCTCTCTGCTCATTTATTTGGGATGTTAAACCATTAGGACACAGATAACCACCCTGATTGGATTTGTTTTAAATAGCAGCCATCCCCATTAACCCAGAGGGCTTCTCCAGGCTAAGGCAAAGGCTCCTTCTGCAGCCCATCAGTTTTGGGGCCAGCTTCACTCCCCCAGTCTGATGGACCTCCAGATGTAGTGGATGCTCACACAGGTTTTCAAACATGTAAGCACCACCCAGCACATCTTTAGGCATCGAGGCAAAGTGAGCATGGACTCGCACTGGGCATGGATAAAACATCTGACATTTCCTGCTACTTCCACCTCTGGAGGTTCACCTGTCCCCAGTTCATGTGGTGACAGCTGCAGGGAAGACAAGTTCCATCCCCATCAACCACCTAAATCTGTCTGTGCTTGTGTTTTCCCAATGTGAGGCTTTCCCAGGTGATGGATCATTTTTGTCACAGCCCAGGATGAATTCACCTGGAGCAGCCACGGAGACAGTGTGGAAATGCTGAGCAGTCACTGCTGCAGGCACAGCAAGGGAAGCACAGCAAGCCTGGCACTCACATTTGCTCTAGTCTCAAAATCATTCTTTTAGCTCACATCAGTTTACAACTGAAGTTTTCCCATCAGAAGGTACAAATAAGGGTGGATGAGTCTGAGATGTTAAATCTGCTGGGCTCTCAGCTCTGGCTATACAGAACTGACTCAAGAGCACTCATGCCATAGTAAGGAAACAATTAATTCACGTTATCAATTATTTATGGTGAATAAAAAAGGAGGAATCATTCCATTACCTTTATGGCAGATTTAAATGAAAGCAATAATAGTGCCTTATGACTTTTTACAGGTTCCCAAACCGTCCATGAGAATGCTCCTTTGGTGAAATCCCTGTTGCTGGCAGGACCTGCTGGTGTTGGAAAGAAAATGTTGGTCCATGCCATCTGCACAGAAACAGGAGCGAACCTCTTCAACCTCACTCCTTCCAACATTGCTGGGAAGTATCCAGGCAGGGATGCCCTGATAATGATGCTTCACATGATTCTCAAGGTGTGTGTCTTGGGGAATTCTGCACAAAGGTGGAAAAAGTTCTTTTGTGGTACAAACAAATTGTAGTTTCTCCATAACGAGGAACATCCACACCTTGGGCAAAGCTGCTCAACCCAATTTGGAATTCCTTCCCTGCCTTGAAGTGTTCAGAACATCAGGAGGAATTTCTCCATGGAAGGGGCTGCCCAGGGAGCAGTGGGTCCCTATCCCTGGGGGTGTCCATGGAACAACTGGACATGGCACTTGGTGCTCTGGGCTGGTTGAAAGGTGGTGATAAGTCAAAGGTTGGACTTGATGTTAGAGGTCTTTTCCAACCAAAATGATTCTGTCATTCTGTGAAACCACTTGTTGACAGCCAGTGTGTGCAGCTCTGCAGAGGATTTAATGCCCCTGGAGAAATCACTGGGAACAACCATATTTTTCACATTAAGATTTATGGGAGCTTTGTGTTACCTTGAATATGAAAAGCAGCACAGATAAAGAAAATTCTGTTCTCTGTTTATGTGCACATCAGCCAGGAATGCTTGCCATGCAGCATTTAATCAAATGCTAGGCTGGGGGTGGTCAGAAATTTCCTCTCTGGGACTGTTGCTGGACAAGAGCTCTCTCCTCTATATTGCTCTCTGTTTACCTATCAGCAAACTCTTCAAAAGAAGGAATCCTGGTTCAGGATTACAGGAACAGAAATGTATGAGAAGTCTGGAAATGAAAGCACGCATATGAACTGTGAAGAACATAGCCCAAACCCTCCTCAAAAAAAAAAAAAAAATTAAAATACATTATCCTGGCAAGATTCTAAGTCCTCAGCATTTCTGCTCTGGATGGAAGCTGGTAAACATTTCCAGACAAAAGAAAAGTAGGAAAAAGCCAAACGTGATATTTTTTCAGTGCCAGTGGTCTACTAAAATTGGCTTTGCTGAGGATTTATCAGCTGTATTTTATGGAATCCAGTCTCAGAGCAGGTTTTGTGACAGGTACCTCCATTCCCAGAAAAGCCTCATTTCACAGTCAGGAGCAAAGCAATCCCTGAGGAGCCTGGTGCTGAGGGAAGGGTGGCAGTGCTGTGATCACACACACACACACACACACCTTTGATGCTGTGGCACTCCCTGACACCATTTAGAGCCATTGTGCTGAGCTAACACTCTCTCTTCTCTGCACATTTCACCTTTCTCCACTTCATTTCTCTGCCCTCATCAGTGGCAGAGCTCAGGTCTGGCTGCAGCACAGCACACGCCAGCCTTGCCCTCACTGAGTCCCTGCTAGAGCACAAGGGAAATGACGGAAGGCTCTTTACTCCTGGGCAAGGCTCCAGCTGAAGATAGCAAGGGGTTTTTTTGTATACTTGCATATAAATAATATAAGCAATAAGAGGAGCATGCACAAAATGTGAATTTATACACATTAATAAGTATACACACACACATCATGTATATGTGTGCCTACAGGTACATACAAACACTTCCATTTATCCATATTATTTAAAAACAACTGGAAACACCCTCCAACCCCTTTCTCAAAATCATGGGGAACAGTCCAAGCTTATTTCTCTCTACTTAAGCTCTTGCAAAAGACAGTGACATTTCAGTGCACTATCCCATGAGTTACTGGGATGGAGCTGCTCACAATCACATGGAACCAGGGCTGTCCAAGCCTTGCTTACCAAAAGGTGACTTGTTCCAACTGCAACAGCAGCACTGCTTCAAACTGCTGCTTTAACAGCAGAGCCAATGGCACAGCACTGGGTTTCTCTTTCCTGGATGTTACAACAGCCTATAGGGACAAGGAGAAATGGCTTTGAACTGACAGAGAGTAGGCTTAGATGGGATATTAGGAAAAAATTCCTCCCTGTGAGGATGCTGAGGCCCAGAGAAGCTGTGGCTGTCCTTAGATCCCTGGGAGTGTCCAAGGCCAGGCTGGATGTGGCTTGGAGCATCCTGGGACAGTGGAAGGTGTCCCTGCCCATGGCAGAGGGTGGAATGGGATGGGTTTTAAGGTCCATTCCAACCCAAGCCAGGCTATGACCCTATGACACAAACTTGGCCTGTCCTAGAATCATTCAAATTCACTGTGTACAATTTTGCATTCCCAGTTCCTTTGGTTGTTTCACATCTCCCATCACCTTCTGTCCCCATGGCTGAGTCACCAGTACCTCCCCATCTGTTGAGGATTTCAGCTCAGATCCTGCAGGTTCTCAGAGCCAGGCTGGATACAATCCTGTACCCACACAGGCTTTCACCTCTGCAGTGAAAATCCACCTCTTTATTCCTGACTATGCCTAATGTGCCTCATTTCCCCTCTCTCTGGTCAAGTCCATGCAGCACTAACTCAGCCAAATACCTGCCTCTACCAGCAAGAATAGCAAACACCTTAAAAAAATTCATTATTCCCTGTTATTGGGCATTTATGAGACCACATCTGGACATCATGTCCAATATTGGGCTGTCCTGTTAAACACAGGCCTTGACAAGCAGGTCCAGAGGAGAGCAGTGGAGATAAGAGGGCTGGAATGTGCGACACATCTGGACAAATCCAGCTGTTTCAAGCTAAAATAAAGCTGGAATGAGAGGGAATTTAGCTGCTGTTTTCAGGAACTTCATGGGATAATGCATAGAACAGATCAGACTTTGCCCAGAGGTGCACAGCAATGGGACAAAAAGAAATGGGCATGAGTAGCAACAAGGAAAATTGTTCATGTACTAAGGAGAAAGTTTTACAAGCAATCAAAGGACAAGGAATCTCCTATATTCTGATTTGCAGGAATTTACTGCTACCCAAGCTGAAGAAAACACAGGGGTAACACACATTCAAAACACGTTCCTGGACAATAGAAAGCTGAACAGTGGTAACTCCCCAAAAAGTTCATTTTTCACCGTGGTACAAAGATCTGGTTATTTGGATTACTGTAAGACTACACTAGACAGACAAACCATGGAAGTAGTTGGTATCTTGCACCTGACATTCCCTATTTAATATTCCCAGCTCTCAGTCTTATCTGCCCCAGCACAGTACCCCTCATCAGAGATCACTGTGTGCAGAGATCACTGAAAATTCCCCAAATCTCCATAATCTGGGCAGATTTTTTGGAAACAGCAACTGTTGTTAAGCCAGCTTTGTACTCCAGCTTCCCAGACGTGCCTTTATGGAAAGTTAGTCAAGCAAGATACAGGCCTTCCACTGCAAGTTGTGAGTGAATGACAGGAAACATGACAGTTCTTTCCCTCTTATCTTCTGATCCACACAACCACTGTTAAACACCAGGATTTGGTAAATAAGGATTAATGGTGTTCCGTGATAAAGGTGAAGTCACCTCGCACTTTTGATTACCTATGCTATGTGCAAACAAAAGAGTTTCTGTAATGAAAGGAAATTCTGGAGAGCATAAAATGTCCATTAGGAAACTTTCCTTCCATAACTGAAGTGTTGGATGCTGGCAGTTGTTTCGTGGGAGACGCCCTAAACAAGTGAATAGGATTGGGGAAAAAATGAAACTTTAATTTGTTTCAGATGCAAAAGCCAGATTCTTTTTTTCTCTCCCTCCCCTTTTCAGGGAGGAGACTTGCAGGAGACACAGCAGCCCTGATCCAAGAGAGGCTTGAGTGTTAGTCCAGGCAAGCATTTTAATGTCATTCAGAGGAAATGACTTCTCATACCAGAGCAGGAAAACACCAACATTTCAATCTGCCTATTCAGAGGAGATGTATCAGAGATTGATACTGAATAGGAAAACTATTGAAAGAGGCTGCAAACACCAAGCTTGAGCACTTGTGTTCTTCATAAAGCCACAGCAAATCCTGCCAGGTCAGCTCTGCTTCAGAGAGAAAAGGGGAGGATCTGTCTCCAGTAGAGAAGCACTTCCCAGAAATTCCCCCCCCCAACAAAACTCACCCTTCAAGCATGAACCAGAACATTCTGGAATATTTCAATTATGGCCCATTTCCCAGCCTGAACTGCCAGCTTGTGCCAAGCAGTTGTTTGGCTCACTTATGTCCCCATAAAATATGGGAACTGTGCAAGGAAGGGCAGTGAAGGATACATGGAAGCAAAATCAGACCCAGAAAGGAGCGAGGAGAGAGGGGAGAATGCCCAACTCAGTGACACAAAAGTGCAAGTAGTTCATGAGGTTTAGCTGCAGGGCAATACAGATGACAAGCACAAGGCAGCCAGGGGATTAATCACTAGTAGAGGGGACTCATCCCCTCTCCAGGGCCACAGCAGCACAGAGAGCACATTGTGCCCAAAGCCACACATGGGGAAACATCATCAGTGCAGCACTGACCAGGCTGGAAGGTGGGGAGAGAGGTGGCCAGGCAGGGAAGCTGTGTGTGAATGTGTCAGCATCTCAGTCTGGGCTGTGCAGAGGCACAGAAATATTGTCCAGAAATATTTCAACACCATCAGTGCTGGGGGACTCTTATCAGGCTCTTTGGGTCTGCTCTTTAGCAAGTCAGAGGTGACTATACAAGTGTTACACCCCAAAAAAGGGATATGATGGAGTTTATTTAGATTAAATGATGCAACCCCAGCATTTAGAGGCAACAGAATGTTGAAGTCTGCCATTAATTTAATTTTTTCCCACTGATTCACGTCCATTTGTTCATAACCACTGCTGTATTGTCCCTTCAGCCAGACCATTTTTCTGGCAGATAGGAGAGCTTACCCTGTTACACTGACAGAATTCTCTGTATGTTTAACATTTCCATGCCACACAAGACTCTCCCACTCCAGCTAAAATTTGGGAACAGTACAGTGAGTCTTTCTTCCAGCATCCAAAATAATTCCACTCTTGGTGCAGCTCAGCCTGCTGGAATTCTTAGAACCTTGAAGTGTTAAATATCATCAGGGCTCAAACACATAGTTATTTCTGAGAGAAAGCAGCTTGAACTTGTGTTACCCTAAGGTTAAAAATTAAATTTATCCTGTTGCAAGTCATTTTCTGCCTCACAAACCAGAATACAGTGGTGTCATCACTGCAGCAGGGGAATATTTAGCTGGTGATGGTCCCATTGATAAGGTCTAATTGCAGGTTTTAGGGCAGCATTTCTGGGTATATAAACTACGGAGCACTAAGCAGTTTTCAGCAATAACTTGAGCTTTCAAAAAATTTTGGGCCTTTAAAAAAAAATCCCATCAAATCTTTCAAGTTTGGAGGAGCCTTGTGCAACACGTGCTGGGCAAGAATCAAATTTCTGCATTTTCAAGTGTAGCAGTTTAACTGTTAAACACTGGCTGTCAGGTTTGAAAAGTTGAACCCAAGGTTCTCAAAAGTGCTGTTTGATCTTTGATGACTGTTGACAGCAGAATGAGAGGGATTTTTTTTTCCATAATGATTTTCCCGAAGAGCAAATCTCAGTGTGGTATTAGAAGGGTTAAGGGGCCATCTGCTGGCAGCTCCAACAAATTGTGGAATTGCAGCAAAGCTAATAAAATTTCAATTACAAATTAATTATGTACAGTGCATTTAATTATCCATGGATTCAAACTGTCCATGGATAATTCAAATGGAGCATTTTCACACAGGGGGATATACAGTCAGCTGAGGATCTGCCAACCATTTAAATGAGATGCCAATGGATTCTGGGTGCTCATCTGGATTCACAAGAAGAAACAGCCAGGCCCAAACACAGGGTGTTGAATTGGGTTATATTAATGTCTGTTAACACCTGGAAAATCATAGAATGGTTTGGGTTGGAAGGGACCTTAAAGCTCATCCTGTCCCAGCCCCTGCCATGGGCAGGGACACCTTCCACTATCCCAGGGTGCTCCAAGCCTTGTCCAACATTTGGACGTTTCCAGGGATTTTGTGGAACAAATACATGCAGGCCATTTTCTACATTTACCTTTTTGCCTCAAGACAGAAAACACAGGGAATTCTCTCTCTAAGAGCCAAAACTGAGGTTATTCATTAGATTTCCACTCAGTGGGGAAATAAAGGGGGCAAAGAAGACAAAAGGTGTGACAACAGTGAGCGTTCTCCTGTAAGAGTTAAAATGAAAGTGTAGTCTGATTTCAGACTTCAGGCTGTGTTTGAGGGGGGCTGCTCACCACAGAAACCATCTCCAAGCCAAACCAGGAATGTCTGCATCTCCCAGCCTGTGGTGACCCCACCAAAAGGACAGACAAAGACACAAGCAGTGTTCAACCTTTGCAGCCTCTGCAACCTTCCCTCCACCCTTATTTTCCTGTCACATCCCACTGCAGCATCAGGCACTGGCACTGAGCAGGCTCTTCAAGGGATGTGAAATCTTTTCTGATATGTTGTTTTTTTGGTTTTTTAAATCTTCACTACTAACACTAGATATTTAAGTTCTCGCCACCCAGCAAAGGAAAAAGCTCAGGAAGGACATTGACCTGTTAGAGTGAGTCCAGAGGAGGCCACCAATCTGATTAGAGGGATGGATGGAACACCTCTCCTACAAGGAAAGGCTGAGACAATTGGCATTGTTCAACCTAGAAAAGAGAAGGCTTTGGGGTCACCTTAGAGCCCCTTCCAGTGCCTGAAAGTGCAAGAAAGATGGAAGAGGCTATTTACAAGGGCCTGCAGGGACAAGACAAGGGGGAATGGGTTTAAACTGACAGAGAGTAGGTTTAGATGGGATATTGGGCAGGAATTGTTTCCTTTGAGGCTGGGCAGGCCCTGGCACAGGGTGCCCAGAGAAGCTGTGGCTGCCCCTGGATCTCTGCGAGTGTCCAAGGCCAGGTTGGATGGGGCTTGGAGCAACCTGGGATAGTGGAAGGTGTCCCTGCCCATAGCAGGAGTGGAATGGGATGAGCTTTAAGGTCCCTTCCATCCCAAACCATTCCAGGATTCTATAATCCAACTGTTCTGGACTTGGAGGTATCACTTGCCATGTTCTAGGACTGACCAATTGCCATCCATGAAAGTGTCACACACTGATGCTGGCACTGCTTCCTCTTCGCCCCATCAGCAGCACTGCAAACAAACTGAACAGCCATCAGGACATTTCCTGTCCTCTTCCCCATCCCCAGCCCATTCCTCCTGCACAGACACACTCACCCTTTGAAACACAACCACAAAAATCAGCTGCAGTGCTGTGAGCAACGATGCTCACCACTTCATTCTTCCTGCCTGGCTGTCACTCAGACAGGAGCTTATGATGTACACAGCTTGTGGATTTTGTAAGCTGCCTTCCTGGAAGCAGCAGTTTCAACTAAGGGGAATTAAAGACCAAAAAAAAAAAAGGGCAGGATAGAAAGATGCTGTGCCCCTCTCTCTTTCTCTCTCTCTCGTTACCACTGAGTCCTTGAGCCATCACTTTTGTTGCTGAACAAACTCAGAGCCACTGGAAGGTGATTAAAATTTGGCAGCAGAATGTCTAAACCACTGGAATGGCTCAACCTCTGGCGTTTCTATAGCAATGGGGAAGAGTGCAGGATGTGGAAAAAGCCTGTAGCATTGCTGCCATCCTGCTGTGAGCCAGAGGTATCGTGCCTCCAACCTTGGAGCAGGAAAACACATTTTTGGACAATGCCCCCCCCCCACCCCCCTTTAAATTTAACTCTTGGGCCCACTGCAAATAAAATGCTGGAGTTTCAACCAGAAGACTGGCAAACTGTTTTGCTTAATGATTAGTGCCCTCCCTCTCATGCAACAGCCATGCCTTGCCTATCTCCCAGAAAACCAGGGTGGGATCCCAGCCTCAGCCTGAAGCTGCTCTTGGACTATGATTTTCTATTGAAATCCAGGCTTCTTTTGCAGGAACACAACTGAGTCTGTGCTGAGACATTAAAGATAATCATAGCAGACAAAATGATCGAGTTTGGGGTGGGCTCTTGATGCTCAATTCCTAACTAGAAAGAGTTGGATTTGCCAAGGCTGCTATATGACTGCTGAACATTCCTGGGGATAAAAAATAAGCCAGGCTAATTGAGCTGCTGAAATCTGGATTCAAAAGCACAGTGACAGGCTCCCAGGTATGAAATTGCAGCTGTTTTAATCAACTCATTGCTTTTTCTCCCCCATTTTCTCCTAGGTGGGCAAGGAACTGCAGCCTTCAGTCGTGTGGATTGGAGACACAGAGAGAATGTTTTCCAAAGGGGCACCAAAGGGAGAAGATGAGGTGAATTCTCCTTTATTTCAGTGCAGATAATTTCTCCTGTTGCACTACAGCCCACACAAAGGAACAAGTGTATTCCTTAGCTTAGCACATACCACTATGACCAGACCTGCCAAAGCTTGCTTGATAATAGCTTGTCTCACTACCCTTTTTTTTTAAGCTTTTAAGAGAGTCTTGCAACTTCTTAAGAGCCCCCAAGAGGTCACATTTCTCTCTTCCACCTATCCTTGCTTTATTTAAAAATAGTCCAGTCACTGCTCATCAGTGCACTGGAAAGTAAAAGGGAATAATGGAGAATTTCAAAATATGAGGCAAGAAGCTAAAAGTTGAGATGAGCTTAAATTGTTCAGCTCTATTAAGTTGAGAAATTGGATGGAGCCAAAGTGAACAATAAAGTAACAGGGATAAGTTTCCACTGCAAAAACAAAGAGCCTGTGTTAAATAGTTACAATTAGAGATTATTTTCTTTGGGCTCCCAGGAGTTCTAATGCCACTGATTCCATTTCTTCCTCTCCTGTGTGGCTTTCCCATTGGAAAGAAAATTAAAACACTGTCCCATAGTCACAGCAACAACACCACAACAGGCAGCAATTCTCCCCAATTCCTGTTGCCTGCAAAATATTTTGCTTTTAGAGCTTTACGTGGAAAATTCAACCTTTTTTCTTAGAGTGTCTGTGGTGTGGTCACAAGCCTGTATTTTGGAAAGGCAACACAAGGCAACCCAACCTTGGCTGGGGCTGTTGCTTCTGCCAGGGCTGGGTGTGCAGTGATCAATGCCCTTAGTGATCCCCACAGCAAGAGGGAACCTTTCTCTTGTGTTCAAACCCTGGCAGAAAATGCAGATGGGGATTAAAGTTAAGATTAGTGGCCAAAAATGGCCTGGATTGCTCACGATCCTTGCTTGCTTAGCCATCAGTGTGGAAAAGTTTCTTGTCCTGCCCACTTGAGAGCCCACAGCACCACTTCTGCCCCTTTTACCCATCCCAAGGCCTTCCCTTGGTGGGAGTCAGTTGGCTCCAGGCTTGGAATGCCACACATCCCAAATTGTTTACAGCACATCCAACATGTAGAAGAGTGAGCTGGAGGGACAGGCAGAGGTCAGGGGCAGTCTGGGGAGCCTCCCTTAGGAGTGCAGGAATTTTGGAGAATCATGAAATGGTTTGGGTTGAAAGGGCCTTTAAAGATCATCTTGTTCCACCTCCTGCCATGGGTAGGGACATCTCCCACTAGGCCAGGCTGCTCCAAGCCCCATCCTAAAAGATGAGCTAAGCTCATCAGAAGCCAAAGTAAGTATCAGTCACTGTGCTCATCCCAGGGTGACATTCTGCCACCAGGACTGAGGGAGAGTTCATCCAGGAGCAGAACTATGAGCTGGCTGTGTCACCCTGGCCAGCAGCAGCCCCGTGCCCCAAAGGGCACCCTCAGCCCTGGGGCTAAGACATGCCCAATTCATTATCTTGATTCAGCAATTGGCACACTTGGAAAAATGCACAGCATGACTATGAGAAGAAAAGGAATGATCCACCAGATGTCTTGTGTTAAGACAAGCTTACTTAGGAAAAAAAAAAGTCTTGCTCTACCCCAAAACTTGTGGGAAAGCTTATTGATTAACAATAATGACTCCACAACAATCTGATTAGGCTTCTCCAGCCAATATTCACTTGAACATTATCAAATACAACCCTCCAGGAAAAGACTTTGCTCAATACTCATCTGTTCTGTAAGTAGTACTTAAATATATGTTGCAAAGTCAAGTAGTAAATTATTGCAAAGAAATGAACCCTGAGCTCCCAGAACCTTTGTTCTCAGAGTCTCATCAGGTTAGAAAACACTCCCAAAAAAAGGGGGTGTATTTTTCACACATAGAAGTCAGAAAATCATAGCCTCCAAGAGCTGGGAGGATTCCAAACTAGGTTGCAATTTTCTACCTGTCCAGGTTCATCAGGTGTGCAGGTCCCTGCAATATTTCTCCTTGAGCTGGAAATGAAGGATTTCCTTCTTTTAACTAGTTATTTCATTCCTGCCTTTGAATAACCAGACCAGTAAATTCTCTAGTGAAAGGCACTGGCACAAACCCACATAAACAGAAGCAGAAATCAAGTGTTTACCTGAATTTGAGGAGGCAGAATCTTTTGTTGCTATCTCAACTGCTCATACCAAATACAACCAGACCATTAAAAAAAAAACCCAAAATGCTGCTGCAGGCAGCAGGCACAGCTCCAGCTCATTAACTCTGGGCTGTCAGCATCCTTAACAACTCTTTCCTTCTCTGTATTTGCACGTGCTGCAGGTGAACTCCAAACGCCTGGCCAAGCTCCTGCCCCAGTTCCTGAGGGCTGTGAAACCCAAGGACAGGGTGCTGCTGGTGGGGACTTCCAGCAGGCCCTTCGATGCCAACCTGGGCCCTTTCTGCAAAGTTTACCAGAAAATCATTCTCGTTCCAAAGCCTGACTACCTCACAAGATTTGGCAAGTATTTCAAGTCCTCCTCCTGGTTAATCCTTGCTGTTTAAAATCCCTGTTCGTTGGCTAGTTATCCTCAGAACTGCCCTTCAGCTCAAGTCATGCCCCTGGTGTATCTCAGGTCCTGAAAATTTAGGTTAAATTCATACAGGCTACTCCAAAAGCCAAATAATAAAATTGGAAGTTGGGAGAAGAGTCTAAAATACTCTTCATCAGCAATTCACATTTTTCCATGAGTTTATTGTGCACCAAGCTCAGCCTGAGCTGGATTTTCCCCCCTGTATAAAGCACAAGATCCTATTTCAGCACATATTTTCTATTTTAAGCTTTTTTTTTTTTTTTTTTTCTTTTTAACATAGGGATTCTGAATTTCTGGTTCCACTTTGCAGTTCTGAATTTCCAATCTCCATACTCTAAACAACACAACTTCTCAGCCTCTCCAAAACCAAACCATTTCAGGAGAATTAAATTTTCTCTCTCACAAATTCCACTTTTTGTGCTTATAGATCATGAGAGAAATTGTACAGGCATCCCTGATTTTTCATGACTGGTCTATCAAATGCTTACAGTGATAGAAAGGCCCTCCCAGTTTCTGACAAATTAATTGAATTTTCCATGTACTAAGACTCAAAGCTTGTAAGGACAACAGGGGTTTTTTTTCTTGCTATGTACATTGGTCTAATAAAACAAACTTCCAATGTTTTGAGACCTTAAGCATCCTGAAGTCTGCAATAAACAGCAATAAAAGAATACACATTTGGCTCAGGGACCTTGCCACACTCTTTGCTTTGTCCACGGTGTCACCTTGTTACAAAACTCTTACAGACACATTGTGCAGTCCAGTTTCATCCTGCATCCCTCAGAGGCAGCCAGGGTACCCAGGTGATGCACACTGGGGTGAGCCCAAGACACAGTTTTGGCTGCCCAGCACATTGTAAATCTCTCCCACATTCCCTAAGTTCCCTGGTGTGGATGGGAAGTGGTCACCAAGCAAGGGAACATGTGTTTCATGTTAGGTTGCAGCTCTGAGAAATTCCTGAGAGATAAGGGGACATGAGCAAAACCTAGAGAAAGGAGGTGACAGCAGCTGAATTTAGCTGTGCTCACTTCTAGAGGTTGAAGTGGCACATTCTGGTACTCTTACCACTAACTTGGAGTCCAAAAAAATGGCCAGCTCAAGGGATTTCAACTGCACACTTAAGAATTCCCAAAAAAAAGTTAACTCATGGAATTTTTAAACAGAATAAACTTGTAGCTTTAATTCTCTGACTCTGCCCCATTTCAGACAGTGCCTGGCTTGTTCTTCAGCTCCCACCTTTCCTGAAGTGGAAATAGGATCTCCTCCCAGTCCTGTCAGTTTTCAGTGCCTGACACCCCATTTGAGAAGGAAAGAAACTTGTTTTGACAGAAAAATAACGACATAACAAATACTTGTAAGCCACAGTGCACAGCTACCTGTCTGCTGCAGCCTCCCTCTGGTTACAGACCAGATTATTCCAATCTGTGCTCAGTGGGAACAGTAAATATACAATGGAAATCATTAAACTGGAAGATGCACAACCCCACACTGATTTCTTGCCATTAATCACCCAGCAAGGCAGTGCCTTGTGTTACACACCTGCAGCACACAATATACAACCATGCTTGCTCTTGTGTGCATCAATTCCTCTTTTATGAATTAGTGATTCAGCCAATATTTATTGAGTACAAGCAGGATTCAAGTGGGAGACCACAATTTGTTGGAGAGAAAAATGCAGTTCAGAGCTGTCAATAGTTATGGGCTCGAGTCCATGGTATTGATGTTACAATCCAAGGAAGAGAGAGGCAGCTTTTGCAGCAGCATCAACCTCCACCCAACATCTTCGTGCTAAATTTGAGCATTCAAGCACAACCAGACTCAAAATGTCTCATTTAAAAAACTTTTTAACCTCTCGTCCATAATCCTCCTAATCTTTTCCAAATATTTCCATATAATGCTTTAAAGCAAAGCCTGAGGAGACAACATCAAAGTTCTCCTAAATTTCTCTGAAACAGGTCCGTCCTTAGCATAAATCAAAAGATTGGTATTATTCCTATTTTTTGGAAGCAAAACTTCAGCCACTTCACAACCCCAAAGAAAACAATCATGTCACAGAAGTTCACAGCTGAAAGATACAGCCAGGTTCACCTTTCAAGTAACAAGCAAAACCCCAGTCACAGAAAATTTGCACCTTGCAACATGAGCCTGCATAGCTGGAAGCCTTTGGGGCATGGAATCCCACTCAGCAGCCCTCAGTTCAGCAGGAATAAGCTGTGATGAGGGTCAGAGAAATAAAACCAGGCTAAAGTAAAGGTGCTTAACTCTGCACATCCAAATGGGAACACTGGACAGGTTCTTTGTGTACACACAAGCAGTTCTTTCCATTTTTACACACATACCGACCCCACTCTATGTGCCCTTAATGACTTGCTGAAGAGTACTGAGTGGTGGCCAAAAATTATCAGTAAGGGTTTAAAAACACACACAATCTGAAGATGAAGGAAAGCTTGCAAAAATTTTTCCTAGCTTCCCTGATCGATAGTCCTCATTTTCTTGTTTCAGTTTCAAAGGAAATAATAATGAAATACTTTTCTCCTGCTTCCCTTGAATTGCTGTCCTGCCACTGTCTCTTATCCATGTCCTGATGCTCAGCACTGTGGAAGCACTACATCCTGCAGAGTGGTGGGACCCTCACCAAGCTACTGAACCTGAACTGCCTGGCCCAGGTGTCGGATGGCTTCACCCAGGGCCACGTTGTGGACGTGGTGCACACTGTGCTGACTGAGCTGAGGCTGCTGCAGATGGCCAGGAAGCCACTGAGGACTGCTGAGTTTGTCACTTCTCTGGCCAGACACGACCCAGTGTACAGAGAGGAGGAGGAAACATTTCAGGTGATTTATCATTCCCTGCCATGTCCAGCCACACTTGATGTAGGCACCTGCTCACTGTGCTGGTGGGGTGGCACCCCACTCTTTAAATGATGATTTAGGGCTCAGCAGCACCAAAACCCATCTCCCCCAATCTGGGGATGTGCCAAACCAGTCCTTTTAGCAGCACAGCTGATAGAGTGCTTTGCTGAACCTGCTGCTGCTCATGTTGAGCACAGCAGCCTCCACATGCATGGATAAAACACACAGGGGCCATTAATTCCATGCATTTGTCCTTTTCCTTCTAGAGCTGAGGTGTTCAGCAAAGCTAGATATATCACCTTGAGAAGGCAAAACACCTGGCCATTCCATGTCCACACAGCTATCAAGATCTAAGCCCTTCTCTTCAATCATTTCAAACAAGAATTTCTTGAAAAGTTTTCATTTCAGGCTCTAAAATAAATGAGTTTGTGCCTCAAGCTCCATCCCTCTTCTCCTCCTGCCCTCGGGGCTATAAAATCCTGAGGGCAAAACAGAGCATTTGAGGTGTATTTTATTCATGGGCACAGGGTGCCAGAAAAGCTGTTGCTGCTCCTTGGAAGTGTCCAAGGCCAGGTTGGAAGGGGCTTGGAGCAGCCTGGGACAGCGGAAGGTGTCCCTGCCCATGGCAGGGGATGGAAGTTTAAGGTCCCTCCCAACCCAAACCAGTCTGTGGTTCTGTGATTCTACACGTGCCTCAAACATCCACAGATCTCCTTCCAGCCTGATAAATGCTGCAAATCCTTGGCACTGGGCAGAGAGCCCTGCTGTGCCCCAAGGAGCTGCAGGCAGCCCACACCAGGGCCTCCAGATGAGGCAAGACCTCGGTACTGCTCCAGGAGACCCCAAAAGAGCTTTCTCCACCCCATACCCCCAGTAATTTCTATTGCTTATAAATCCCCCACTTTTCCTGGCTGAAACGTTTCCTTGTTGTCCTGCTTCTTGAACCCCCCAGCACCTCCCACCACAAACAGGATTCTGATTCTCACTGCTTTCTCCAAGGCTTCTTCCACTGCTGTCCTAATGATAGTGCATATTTCTCCCAGCCCTGCTGGTACTTCCCAGTTTCCATTTAGAGCCATTTGGCTCGCTCAACACAGGCAGCATTTGTGATATTTGGCAAACTACTCTTTTTTTTTTTCCTCATGCTTCCTCACTAAACCAATATCTCTCCTCAGGGAAGGGCTAATGGTTCAGTGTTACAGCAAAGGGAAAAAAAATACTCCATCATTCTCAGCTCCAAGTAGTAATCCATTTGTACCCTGAAACATGAGAGCAAGTATTTAGTGTGAGTTTAACTTGAAAATATTATCCCAGTCACTCTAAAATGTGCCTGTTTTGTACAGCACAAAGTGCCCAGGCAGCTCTTCATTTGGAACACAGCTCAAATGTTCCTGTCCTCAGCATCCCATGGCAATCATCTCCTTGCATTAATTACAGCCCTTAAGAAAGTATTTCCTTTTATCTGTTGGAATTTTGTTTCCCTTAAATGTCATGGAGCCTTGCTGCAGCACCTGTAATATGGCACAGGGGAAGAGGATTGTCAGAATATCCTTGTGCATTAATTAACTCCAGTAATCCCCATCTCCCCTCACGCAGAAGCCCCTCTTCCCAAGCTTCTAACCATTGCCATTTCTGGACCTTTCCCCTTGCTTTGCTTTGTCCCTTGTGAGACAGCTAAAACACCGAGTTCAAAGTGAAGATTAGCCTTGTGATGAATCTTTGATTTTTCTTCTCTGAAACCATGAATCTCCCAGTCTGACATTTATATTCTGCCAGTGTTCCAAAATGGACATAAATAATGCAAAATTTGTGACAATGTGATTGCTCCCTTCCATTTACTCAAATTTCTGCGCCAATTACACATCCACGTTTTTTGAAATTATAAATTAGTGCATAGATTGATACAAATCCTTACACTGAAAGGATTTCTGGGGAGGCAAAGCCAGCTAACCACACCAGTTCTGCCTGGTAGTGACTGGACCAAAATCATGAAATGATTTGGCTTGGAAGGGACCTTAAATCTCACTTTGTTCCACCCCATTCCGTGGGCAGGGATACCTTCCACTAAGCCAGGTTGCTCCAAACCCCATCCAACCTAGCCTTGAGCACTTCCTGGGATATGGCAGCCACAGAAATACCTAAGAAAACTCATTCCAAAGCCTGTGGCCATCATTCTTCCAAAACCCAAATATTTTAACTCTGATCAATCACTGTTGCCAGGAACTTCCATCCCCAGTTCAGATGCTGGTGACAAATGGACTTTTATTTTAGCTGTGTGTGATGACCTGACTTCATTTATCTCACAGAACAATTACACCAGTTAAAGACACAAAAAGTTACTGCTGTGTGCTGAAATATTTGCACAAAGAATTGGGAAGAGGATAGAAAGAGACATCCCAGGTCTCTTGGCTTCTCCTGCCAAATGCCTCTAAGTCCTTTGCCAGTGAGCCCGAGCTGGCCGGGAGATGATCACCCCACCAAACAGCTCTTTCCACCCCACCAAGCTCCCAGAAAGCTCTTGGCAAAGTTTTCCTACTCTTTCCACCTTCCATGTAAGGTCTGGAGGGTGCTACACCCAGGACACAAAACTGAGGGGAAAATAAAATCTCTGTGGCCTCATCCAGGGCCAGAGACATCACTGGGTTCTCCTGGCTTCCCTCAGCTACTGCCAGGGAAAGGCAATTCCTGCTGGAGCCCAAACTCACAATCACCACCTTGTCCCTCTCATGGGAAGGGCCAGAAGCAGCTGCGCATCCCAGCTCTGCTGCTCTCTCAAAAACAGGAATAGTTTGGCCTGGGACTAAGGCAGCAAAATTCAACTTTCCTGAGAGCCATGGGGTTCCTGCCCACCACCACCCATGCCCTGCCTAGATGTGGGCACACAGGAGGCTGGTTTTATCAGTGGGGATAGGGTTTTTGGAGGAGGGGTGCTCAGCTAATTCAGATAATTAAAGCAGAATTGCAGTGTCCAGCAGCCAGCTGGACGTTTGACCCCTGTCAGCCACCTGCTGGCAGTATTTATCTGCAGGGTGCCTGTCATCATCAGCCCTTCCTGGGGCCCAGAAGCAGCTCTTGAAAAGATGACACTAAGGAGGACCTTCTGGGGTCAGGAGAGGAACATGTTGAGTTTTCCTTCCTCATACCTCTTCTCCCAGCTTCTCTTCCTGTGACTCACACTGGGCAACTGGACAAGGCAAATTCTTCAGGCATGCCTGAACAGGCTCAAGCTGGAAGCAGGATTTGGGATGGATCAGATGGGAAAAGCAGACTTTGCAGGATGCCACGTTGAGAGGGAGGTTGGAGATGACATGGGCAGAGGAGGCAAAGGGAAAGAATTTTATCCATCATGGTCAATGCCTGGCAGAATTTGAATCTCTGGTTTAGGCAGGACTTTGTTGAGAAAGGTTCTTGTACATCCAGGGAAGGAGTAATTCCTACCTAGTGCTGACTTTAAAGCCTCCCCTTCTCCTTCACTTCACATCATTCTCACACATCCTCGAGCTGCCTCCCTGACATCACAGCCCAGGAGCTGGGCAAGCCTGCAGAGCAGCTCCACCAGAATCATTTACAAGTCACAGGCCTGTGAGCAGGCATCTGAAAGCAATAAACAGGTTCTTAATGTTCGGGGTTTGTTTTGCTTCCTAAGCTCCCTCATGGAAATCAAAGCTGTCTGGATCGATTTGTGGAGGCACGAGAAGGGGATGATTTGTCTGTTGCCAAGTCTGGAGCAGAGGGAGCTCTGACAAGAGCTATATTCTCTGGAAATAGGGTTGATCGTGGAATTTAACATTTCCATAACTATAGCAACACAAATGGCCCAGCTAAGTATTGCTGTTAATGATACTCAGCTCGATCAATTGCTGCACTTCTTGGTATAAAAATGTTCTCAAGAGGTCTGAGGGTTTCATTTTGGCTTCTCCACCAGCCAGCCTGGATTTTAAGAGGTTTGGGTTTTAAAAAGAATGCTCTGTTATAGTAGTAAAATGTTTAAGTGGTCTGTCTTGCCTTGTTTTTTTGTTGTTTTTTTTTTTATTTTATTAAAACATACAAATGCTTTTTGATTCTCCAGGCCTGGTATGCCAAAACCCCACTGGGGAAAGCATGGAGCACAGCACTGGCAGCAAAAGAAGCAGAAAAAGGAAAGAAGAAAGGAAAGAAAGGAAAGAAAGGGAAAAAGTAACTTCCACAAGGATTTTTCAGCTGGCCCTACCCAATCACAACTCCACATGGCAGATTAATGCTCCTCGAGTTATAGGTATTCCAGGGAGAGAATTCCTCTCTAAATCAATTTTTAAAGTTAAAAGTTAAAAAAAAAAACCAAAAAAACAGACGAGGTGTAACATGTAGCTCTCAGAGGATAAAGACTTAATGAGCACTGACTTGCTCAAGAATTATTTATTCTCAGAGATTTTTAGGGGGCAGAAGGGTTCATTACTCAGGCCTGTAACATGCCATCAACTTTTAGGCCATACTCATTTATTTCGGCAAGTAACTCTCCTTAAAAATTGATGTCACTTTAATGTCTTTCATTACTTTAATATCCTATATGCTTTATAAAACTAACTGCTTTATATATCTGTGGGTCTAAAGTGTTACAGTCCTCAATAAAATTATTACAGCTATAAAGACTGCTTTTTAATTGGGATGGATTAGGAGGCACTTTGTGCAATCCACCACAATATTTACACAGCTGCAGGAGGATCAGCACTTGTACCTTTTGAGGCCTTAGCATGGACAAATTCCTATATGTGGGTGTCAGCAGAAAAAAACAAAGCAGCTACGTGCTAATTTGGGTGGATGTCCACCAAAATCTGGTTTTAATCCACTTTGCCATAGAAAGTAATGCCTAATTAGCATGTTTGCACAAACAGCAATGTGTTTGTTGCTTAATGCACCTTGCTCACTCACAAATCTGCAATTTTGAGGGCAAAGGATTTATAAGGAGTGTTTAGAACACTCTAAAGCTTTGGAACATCCTACAGGACACTGATGGAGCCAGCACCACCTTCATGTCAGGCACAGGATCATATTCACCAAGGTCTTGTGTAAGTAAGAGCCACAAACACCTGTTTTTCCCTCTGATCACAGAATTCCTGTGTGAACCTGACAACAGGTAACTGGAAATACAGAGCCCACCATCCCCAGGGAGCTGAGGAACCTCCCTATGTCTGTACCAACAGCCTGGGAGGTACCAGCTGGGCAGCACTGCTGAAGGAAGCTGCTGGGAAGGGGATGGTATTGAGCCCTTCCTTCTCCTAAGAGGAAACCAAATGGGAAAAGGCACTCCTGGGAACAGGAATGCCCGAGAAAAAACGGCCTGGGAGGATTCCTCGGTGTAACTAACTGCACAGAAAATTATTGGAGCAATTGTACACAGTGGAGGGAACTGGATGGGTCTGGTTAATAAAGAGAATTTTCTCCCTGGAGGCTATCCCAGCATATAGGATAGAGCCACCCCAATTTGGGGTTTTTGTGGTCCTTTCTAGTTATATTTTACTGTCTGGTACAGGGCTCCCCATGATTTCACCCTTCCAACCTCGAGGCTGCACCTCCAGCCCTGCCAAGGAGATCCAAGCAGTAAGAGAGGAAATTCTCCTTACCTCTCCCCTGTGCACCCCCTCAGGACAGTTCTGACGGACACCAGCCCTTCCCCAAGCAGTAATCCAGCTGCTGGAATCTCCACATGACCCACACAGGAGCCCCCATGAGCTGCCAGCCCCTGGGTTCAATCCATTGCAACAGTGCAGCTACAAACATTAGCTTTCCATCCCTTATTCTTTGGAGCAGTCTGCTGGCTCCCCAAACTCAGCAGCACACCCCAGTTCTATCAAATAAGGTACTTCTAACTTCATCCTTGGGGAGAAAAGCCAGTATCTCCAAAGAGGTGACAGGGTTTGTGTGTAAAAAACCCTCTTCTCTGCTCTCATCCACAAGGAAACTAATTTGGATAATTCTGCCCTCAATCTTGCCGACAGCAGAGCCCTCCTCCCCACAACAGGTCTGACAGCACGGCGTGATGTGATGAAAGGACCACATTTCAGGAGGATGTAAGCAAGCCCATTAACTCATATTTCAGCAGCTTCACTGCAATCTCCAGAGCAAAGTAAAAGAACTGACTGGCAACATCCATCTCCAGGGCACAACGCCGAGCCTGCAGGGAGCATGCTGAACTTGCACAAACCTCCAGGTTTTGTCCAAAATTCACCAGTTCATGGGGAAAAAAAAACACTGGGGAATTTATCCTTTAGGTGCAGCTTGCACTGGTAGCTGCTTGCATTTATTTCTTTCGGTGAGGCTCTAGAAGCCACAGCTGGCTTAACTACAAACAGTTCTGTGGGTGCAGGAGGTGACAAAGTGGTGGTAAAGTGTCCCAGGCCAGGTTGGACAGGGCTGGGAGCAACGTGGGATACTAGAAGGTGTCCCTGCCCATGGCACAGGGTGGAACTGGATGAAATTTAGGGTCCTTTCAACCCAACCCATCCCATAAAGCAGAAAACCTCTGCCCTGTGGGGCTGCCAAACCCTTGCTCTCCTCAGGAGAGACTTCTTGTTGGGACAGGGAGGGAAGAACAAGGAGTAATTTTAGTGCTGTTTATAATTATTATTACAGAGAGTGCAGCTATTTGAAAAATGAATGAAGCAGCTGCATCAAGCAGAGCCAGCACACAGAGTAATTTCAGTGTCAGTGGCTGAGTTATTGAATAAGTGGCCCTGGCTGGGTCTCCAACATCCTTCCCACTGGGAGGCTTTCACAGGAGCACCTCTAGAAATGCTTCTCCAATATCTCCACCCAGACATCTTTCATGGAAGGAGGTAAGGAGGCTGTGGCTTTGCTAAGCCCTGCACAAGTGCACTCTGCTTTCCAGCCACAGCATTCCCACAATCTGATGGAGGAGGAAAATCCTGCCTCCTCCACGCAGCCAAAGGTGAGCTTTGAGGGACAGCAAAGAGGGGGGGCAGGCTGCTCTGCCTCCTGGCGTGGAGGCAATCCAGCAGCAGCACCAGCAAAGCTGAGAGAAGAAGCTGTCATGCTCATTTATATATGTAAGTGATCTAGAGAATTATCAGCTAAATTATTTAAATGTCCCATTACTATTAAATTACTGGGCATTCATTGTAAGAACAGTCATAATACAGTAACTAATTTGGTATTAATGTAAATGTCAGCGTTTCATTGCAGTTATTTTGTACTTCATCATCAGATAATTTACCAATAAATTAATTGGCTTAATTGCTTCCTGCAAACCCACGAGAACTACATATGACATGACTTTTATAGAAGTCTTCATGCATACTCCCCCGTCCTTCCATTTTAACCACACCAAGCAAGAACCCCTCTTTGGAACACCTGGAAGGGGGAGCAGAAGAAATAAAGTCATGGCATTTCCCTGCCCTGTGGATTTTAATGTGCTTTAAACACAGCCCTACACTTGGAGTAGGACAGGACACAGGGAATGGCTTCCCATTGCCAGAGGGCAGGGTTAGGTGGGATATTGGGAAGGAATTGTTCCCTGGGAGAGTGGGGAGAACCTGGAATGGAATTCCCAGAGAAGCTGTGGCTGTCCCTGGATCCCTGGAAGTGTCCAAGGCCAGGTAGGACACTGGGGCTTGGAGCACCCTGGGACAGTGGAAGGTGTCCATGCCATAGCAAGGGGCTGGAAATAGATCTCAATCCAGAGATGGGATTATTTGGATTGCCCCTGCCTGCCTGGAAGCCAGCTGCTCCAGCACTGGAGTTTTTACCCCACCACAAAACCTCTCTGGCAACCACAGTGAGTGTCCCAGGGCTCCCACCCTCTTTTCCCCAAGAGCTCACGAAAAGTTTTCTGCTGTTTTCTTCTCCAGGAGATGGGAAGGAAAGACTCCATCAAGAGCACAGTGGGGAAGGGGAGTTCTTTCCTCCCGTTTCTGGCTTTAAGTGTTTTTAAATAAGTGATCAGGGCTCTTTTGCAGAGTGCAGCAGGCTCAGCACTCCTGCAGCACCAGGGAGGGATCAAAGTGGCTGCAAAACTCTAAATCTTTATTGATGCTCATTCTCCCTGCTCTTGTGCAGTGTGAGCATGCTAGGCTGGCACAGGGACCAGCTCCAGGTGGCAAGAGCCCAAGGGAACACACCACACCCTCCCTGAGAGGAGCCCCAGGCACACAGCACCCGTGGCAGCCCATTATCGAGGTTGCCATCAGAATTCAAAAACAAGCCGACATTTCTCAGCAAAGCCCCCCAAATCCGGTAACACAAAGTGAAGCTGACTGTTCTATTAACTCCCATCCTGCATCAGCAATTTTCTAAAGTGTGGAAACATTATAATTGACTTTTCTGCTAGTAGCAAAATGTCATTTTTCCTTAATACTCCCCAAGTCAGTAACGCATTTCAAAAGCCTCCGATGCCACTACCACAACAGGACTTACAAATTAGCACATTTTTAGCTTTTCATTAAACACAATGCCAAAAAAAAAAAAAAAAAAAAAATTAAAAAAGAGGAAAAAAGGGAAAGTCTTCTCGTATTAGGGTTTCTCTCCTCATTATTGAAAGTACTGCGACTTTGGAACTTCTCGCAGCAAATTATAATGCACTCAGCCTGGGGCCATTGTAAATCAGGGCTTCAAAAAAGGTGTCATGTCGTCGGGCCCTCTTCAAGCACTGAAAATATCGGAGTCTATTTGAAAACGCCTTCTGTAGTCTCTCACTAGCCTTGCAAATCAGCGCAGCACTGGGTAGAGCTACCTTTTATTTTATTTTTTTTTGCCTCGTGGCATCAAGCCATTTCTGTTCCGACCAGAAAAAGAGGATTATTTCGTGCTGCGATTTGAAATAAAAAAAAAAAAAAAATTACAACCCCCTACACCTAAGATAACAAGCTGCATAAAATCCCCAAATCATTTGGGGCTCTTGTTAGGGTTTGGACAGCGCCTGTGGGGCTGTTACAGCCCTGGGCTGAAATCCCTTTTATTGACAGAGCAGGGAAAACCAACCCCAGGGGATGTGCCAGCAAGGAGAGAACCACATCCCACCCCAAGCCCCCAAACCTGGCACTGCCAGGCTCTGCACCCACCTGCGCAGCAGCCTGAAAGCCAAAGGATTGGAATGCCAACTCCACATCCTTTTCAATTTTTCCCATCCCTCATCTCCTCTGCACCTCTCCAAACAAAACCACGCAGCCTCCTACCGGTTGGATTTTC